TTCCTCGACCTCTTCCGATTGTTGCTGTTGCGGTAGTTGGAGATTCCCACGACGCTTACCACACTGCGCCGCTATGTGGTCATACGACCCACACAGCCGACACGTACGACGTTGCCCTGCATATGTTACATATACTGGAGTTCGAAATGCTTGCAACATAACATAGGATGGTATGGGATGGCGTAAGGTCATTTTGACTGAATATGTTCCCTCCAACGCTCCAGCATATGGCCCAGCGGCCCACCGACCTGCAGAGGCCATATGAACCGTACCATAATTACGTAGTTCATTTTTTATAACAAAATCAGTCGCCTCAAAAGGCACATTCCTGATTTTTACCCATGTGTAATGTCTAGATACATCATGAAGACGTACTGATACAGCTGAATTGACGGCTATAATGGTCTCTTGATACTTATCAACCACCGCTTCGTAGACATTTGCTGACGTCAATTTAACGAAGATCCGTGTCGTCCCATTAAGTGCTACACCACATATCTCTTCATTTGCGATACCGTAGGTATCACGGATAATCGCCGGTAGTAACAAATCCATCGTGGCTCCCGTGACAGCCCCACGGGTCAACTCAACGCAGACAGTGCTGATGCGCCTGCTGCTATGCAGCTCCATGTTGGAAAATAAAGTTTTCGCCAGCTAACGCCAGGGATAGCAGCTCAAACAGGTAAACTGCGCACAAGCCAACTCAATCAGGAGCGTCTGCGCAGCCTGTCCGCACGGCCCAATAGCGATGCGAACAATGTGATGAGCACTTAGTAGAGAGGTTCAGCTGCTTAGACAAAACATCGGAATGGGTAAGAAATCTGAGTGTGACAGTGTTATGGCTGTTAGTGCCAGACAGGATGTTTGACCATCTCAGACCGATAATCTGACGCGCAATCACAAGTTTATAGAGAAGGGTGCGGAAAACATCCAGTGAGCGGTGGTTCCGTCTGTTGAAAACTTGCTTTCAATGAGAGGTCAAAGAATGGTCAGACTGACCTTACCGCGGGCGGGGATAAAGCCCGCGATCAGTCATAAAACTCAAGACCGGTCAAAGCTTGTTTAAGCTGACAGTAACTCAAATAGCTATGCATTGTCACGGTATGCAGAAGACCATCTCTGAATGCACAACACTTCGAACCTTGAAGTAGATGGTCTACAGCAGCAAAAGACCATACTGGGTTCCATTCCTACCATCTAACAGGAAACTGAGGACACAGGCTCACCAAAACTTGACAGATGAAGACTGGAAAAACGTCGTCTGGTCTGACTAATCTTTCTGCTGAGACATGCAGATAGTGATGTCGGAATTTGGTGTAAATATTAATGTGGTGGGACAGGCGATTAGCAACATGAATGTGCAGCCAACAAATCTCCAACTGTGTGATGCTGTAATGTCAACATGAACCAGTACCTTATTGAATCCATTCCATGAATTCGGTTTGTTCTGAGGGCAAAGTGGGCCCTTTACCCAGTACTGGAAGTGTACCCAATAGTGGCCAAAGTGTATCTTTTGCGTATATTGTTAAAAATAGATGTAGTAATAGATGCAAGAGATGTTTGGATATGTAAAGGCTTATGAATTAGACATGTACAACACTTGGGTATCTTTACTGAGGAAACGTGGCGAAACTTTTCCTCAATAAAGATACCCCAAGTGTTGCACATGTTTAATTCATCAACTTATCGGTTCTCGAACTGTTTATCTACATATGTAAAGACGAAGTTTAAAATAAATTTTTGATAATTATATTCATAAGTTTTGTAATTTTGTCATCTATACTAAAAGGTTGACTGAGAGACTCCATCACCACCTCTCCGGAACAGGCAAGGACGTCACAGACCAATGTCAAGTAAAATCTGCTGCCTACCCATCAGACTTGACAGCTGGCTTTATACTCCATAGCTTCATTAACTACTGACTAGCCACTTTTTCCCAAGTTGTTCTTAAGGAACAGCACATTCTGCATAAGTCTTTTCTTCTAGTCTCGTTCTCTTGTATCCCAAGAGAACAATCCTTACCCATTTTCCAAAAAAAATATCCTGCATTCCGTACGCCTTTGCATTCACTCTTCCTTAATTAACTTAAACCTTTTTTCTTGTTCGTCTTAATACATGACACAACTCTTGCAACCCTTAATTTTTTGAGTGACTTGCTCATTTTTAGGTCAGACGGAAGAAGTTCTGTTAGTTAATAATTATATATAGTATTGAGATCCCGGTAATGAAAATTGGAAGATGTTGAGAAAAATGTTTAGTGTTCTTTAGTATAGTTGTTTCCCGGTGCGTTTTGGACCACAGACATTGTTCTTGGAGTGGACTCCTGCAGAGTGACAGCAAAATGTGCATGGTTTGGCAAGCGATTTCGAGGATTGGGATTCTAATCTTGTCCATGATTTGCTTGCGTTTTTTTCTTTTTTCGACATGTGACATACCACTGACTGGCTCCCATTTATGAGGTTAATTTTTGCGGTAATTTTTAGTCTCCTAAGTGTGCAAAATCCTTTGTTAACTTGCAGGAGATTTCTTGAATAGCCAGTCTTCTGGGTTTTCAAGAATGCTTTTAATTTGAGGTGGAAGTGTTAATGCTTTTAACCTTTGTGAGGTTTTTTAAATGATGCTGTATGTATTGTACTTGTCTATATTGCTGTGTTGAGCACTGAACAGCTGCTCTTTAAATCTCTCGAGCCTCGTACACTTTCCTATGCTTCTTGACTTCTACCTTCATACTGCCAGTCTTATTCATTGTACACTAAGTACCATTTTTCATAAAACCCATAGCTTTCCATAAGTTACTGTTATTTCCTATCATGCATACACGTCTTTCTTGCTCTAGACTACACACTCCATTTTTTCTCCCCCGCTTACATATAGCTAAACTTTTTTTTTTTTTTTCACTGTTTTGATTTCTCTAGTCAGCTGTACAATGTTAAATTTACTCCGGTATTTCTAAATCGAATTACGTCCCCCTCATTTTCTACCCTACATTATGATTTCATTAACTAAGTATTCTACTGAACTTCCTCTAAACAGCATTCGCTTCCCATTTATCCACACCTAAATACTTCCACCAATCATTGTAGCTTTTCAGGATTTCCTAATAACACCGGCTTATCTTCAGAATCATTAATAAATCCTTTTAAAATCTCTTTTAGGACTACTAGCACATGTAATAGCTTTATTTTTGTATTAACACATCGGCCGTATCCCACCAAGGCAGGGTGGCCCGAAAAAAGTTTCATCATTATTCACTCCATCACTCTTACCAGTGGCATGCTTACAGTACAGTTACAAAATTACAACGTTAACACCCTTCAGAGTGCCGGCACTGTGCTTTCCATCTCCAGGAATCAAGGCCGGCCTGCCGGTTTCCCTGAATCCCCTCATGTGTGTTACCTTGCTTACACTCTAACAGCACGTAAAGTCCTAAAAACCATTTGTCTCCATTCACTCGTATCTAACACACTCATGCACGCTTGTTGGAAGTCCAAGCCCCTCGCACACAAAACCTCCTTAACCCCTCCTTCAACCTTTTCTAGGCTGACCCTTACCTTTCCTTCCCTCCACTACAGATTTATACACTCTCGAAAGTCATTCTCTTTTGTTCCATTCTCTCTACATGTCCAAACCATCTCGATAACCCCTCCTCAACCCTTTGAATAATAGTTTTGGTAATACCACACCTCCTAATCTCCAAACTACGGATTCTCTGCATTATATTAGCACCACACATTGCCTTCAGACACGACATCTCCACTGCCTCTAGCCTTCTTGTTGCAACATTCACAACCCATGCCTCAAACCCATACAAGAGCGTTGGTATAACTAGACTCTTGCATTCCCCTCTTTGCTTTCATGGATAGTTTTTTCTTCATAGACTGTAGTGCACCATTCGCCTTTTTTCCCCCTCCATTTCTATGATTCACCTCATCCTTCATAGACCCATCTGCTGACACGTCAGCTCCCAAATATCTGAACACATTCACCTCCTCCATACTCTCTCCCTCAAATCTGATATCCAATCTTCCGTTACCTATTTTTTTTTATCCTCGCCTTACTCTTTCCAATATTCACTTTATTTTCCTTTTACATACCCTACCAAACTCAACCTACCTCTGCAACTTCACTTCAGAATTTCCCAAAAGCACAGTGTCATCAGCAAAGAGCAACTGTGACAACTCCCCCTTTGTGTTAGATTCTTTATCTTTTAACCCTACACCTCTTGCCAACAACAGAGTATTCACTTCTTTTAAAACTCCATCTATAAATATATTGAACAACCATGGTGATCTCGTACATCCCCTAAGGCCTACTTTTACTGGGAAATAATCTTCCTCTCGCCTAACCTGAGCCTCGCAACCCTCGTAAAAACTTTTCACCGCTTTCAAGAACCTACCTGCTATTCCATACATTTGCAACATCTGCCACATTGCTTCCCTGTCCACCCTATCATATGCCTTTTCCAAATTCATAAATGTCACAAATACCTCTTTACCCTTATTCAAATATTGTTCACCTATGTTTCACTGCAAACGCTTGGTCTACACACCCCTACCCTTCCTAAATCATCCTTGTTCATCTGCTATCCTGCTCTCCGTCTTACTTCTAATTCTTTCAATAACAACTCTACTATACACTTTACCAGGTATACTCAACAAACTTGTTCCCTTATAATTTTTACTTTTTTGTCCCCTCTGCCAATCCCTAGGTACATTACCCTTTTCTATACAGTTATTAAATAAAAACGCTAACCATTACAAAACTATATCCCCACCTGATTTTAACATTTCTATCTATCCCATCAATCCCAGCTGCTTTACCCCTTTTCATTCTACTAGCTGCCCCATGCACTCGCCCCACACTCGCAACTGGTTCTTCCTCACTCCTATAAGATGTTATTCCTCCTTTCCCTATACACGAAATCACAGCTTTCCTATCTTAATAACATAAAAAATAGTGTCGACCAGGACTGAAGGAACCCGTTGATCTGTATTTGGTAGTGACGCAGGTCAAGAGAACTTCTTGCCCACTGCTAAAGACGGCAACGGACCTGGAGGTGGAGGCGACGGTGGTGGTGGTGGTGGCGGCGGCGGTGGTAGCGGCGGCGGCGGCGAAGGAGGCTTCACCAAGGTGTTAGGCACGTTGTGGGAAGCAGTCAGCAAATACAAATCACAGAAGACAACCCCCATGATTGGTGAGTGTGATGGAAATTCATTGTTATATTAATCAGGTTTTCTGATGTTGTGGTGACTAAAGACAGCTATGTAATTTTGTATTTGGAAAGAATTTCTTAGTGTAGGTATCTTACACGAAACTGTCCATATGCGCATAAATTAAATGCTTTAATGAGAAACTGTAACTGGACGGTATCTTTCCTAGCGGGTCGTATGGCTACTCTGAAGAATCGGCTGCTAATGGAAGCAGGAGATTTGATCACCTTCTACGTCCACGCTGCTGGGACTCGCCATGCAGGTACGTGAATGGTGCGATAAGTTGGTATGGGTGGAAAAGGTGCGAGGGAAAATTCGTGTTAGGGAAGAAAAATTAAGTGGTCAAGCGCTAAGCGATGGAAGGTAGGTGTGATTTATGGATCTGACTTTGTTGGTTTCTGCCCCATTCCAATATTAGCAAGTCTTCGAAGATCGTGGTTCTTTAACTGTAAATTCACTTCAGATGGACGAACTCTGTCACGGGATGACAAGGACTTCACTGCTAACGTAAAAGGCGAGGCTACTCAAGTGGGCGAAGGAGAGCACCACAGAGGCAAGAGAGACCACCTTCTGGGGTACACTTTCCTCAGAGACAAGGAAGGTAGGTGCATGATCTCCGACAAATAGCTTGCACACAAGCAATTCCCATCCAATCAGTTCATTTAATTTAAAATGTGTGCAGTTAAGCTTGAAACGTTAATTAAATTTATTTCTTGTCACTTATGCTTCCTACGGAAGAAACTGCTATCATTAGATTATTGGTAAGTGTCCTAATATACATAAATTTGTCCGGTTAGTAACCACATTTAAAATTGTATTGAACAATATATAAACATTTCACTTCATGAGTGATATGGAATTAGTTTTGTGCTGAACATTTTTAACCCAGAAATACTTGCATCATTTTGTTGGTCAATAAGTGTTTTCAATCGTGCTGAGGAGTGGAAACCAAACACTTCGAAAGAGATTGCAGAGTGAAAATATTAAGCATTTTGCGTGTGGCTGCTTCACCCAGAACCTCTTAGTGTGAAATTTCACTCTTGCTCATTCAGCATTTTTTAGTTAGTTTTTAGAAAACTTTGATTCTTGTCCTATTAGATTATAGTTTTGTATTCATTCAGTGGCTGGTAAGCTATTGTGACTGTTTTTGTGAATATACTTAATTTTTACCCCTATTCATTCCTTGGTTAAGGTAGAGGCTATGCCAGCTCATTTAGTAAACACAAAAATAAATGGTTATGCTATGTCCGAGGCCAGGAATGTTGATTCTGGATGTCGATACACATCCACACGTTGGGTGACCCCCAGGTGGTAAGACGGGGTCACGACCAGGGCAGCTCTTGAGCTCGAGTTGTGGTTGATTATTCTTTTCTCAAAAATATTCTTTAAAAGATGGTTTTTAAACTGTCGTATTTTTAAATTAGTTTAATTTTTTTTTATAGAAACTATAAATATAGGAAAAGTAATACGCATTCAGCTCGGTACTAATTTTTTCACTTGTTGGACTATTTAAATCTGTTTTTCTCTGATTTTTCCCAGTGCCAAACGTCTGATTAACGTAAAAGTATTTCCACATTTGCAACATTTTCAGCAGAAGTTAGAGCAACTTCAGTTGTGACTGAAGTAAAATTTTTATCCATAAAGAATAGAATGTGTAAAAGGCTACTCTATAATTTTTTTTATTCGGCTCTGGATCAGATTTATTGCTAATATTGGGCACGAATTAGCCTTTGTTCGTAATTTCCTTAATTAAGCATACAGCTGGTTTTCATTAGTTTCATATAAAACTGTTTTAGCCCAACAGTTCTAGCCACTGAAGGTCGTCAGTGTGGTATATATATTGCTACATTTTCATGTTGATAGTTTTTTAATCCATCCTCAGACACTCGGTAGTAATATAATTAGTTTTGGAATAAATGTAAAATGTCGAGGGCTCTTCTTATTTCTCCATTGTTTCAACATGCTGAATTTACCTACTCGATTTTTTAAATGTATTTCTCCCAAAATTTTTATATACCATCCTTTATTCCACCCAACATAACCTCTATATGTTTTTACTGAATGATGAATATTTACCTCTTATTCAAAATGAGAAAAATATTAAAAAACTTTTTTGCATAGTGTACCTATTGATAAAAATTTAGGGGCTTATCAAACTTCATCAATGTATTTTTTTACTATAAAAAAAATTAAGTTTATGTATATGCTTTCACTTGACTTGTATTAATATAAAAAAAAGTAAATTTTTAAGGCGTGGCAATGTTGGCTGCAGTGGAGGGAGCAGCGAGTCTAGGAGTGAGAGGCTCTCAGAAAATCCACATGACTATCTGGCACGACAGACTTATTGTTGCTGTCATCCACAACACCATGAAAGTCTCTCTTCACGCAATCGATCAATACTCGCTGAAGGTTAGTCTCAACACAGCCTACATTGTAGGTTGATATCCCTAGGGATGTGCTTTTCACTACACACGCACACGCGCGCGCACACGCACAACTACAACACCAGACTAAGGTAACCCTAGTCTTCACTGATGAGAACTTTCTTTTCCACTGTTCACACAGGAGAATCGTATAATACTCTGGTTCAGTTTCATTTTCAGAATGGTGCGCTCGCCCTAGTGAATTATGCTCTTAGCCCCAATGGTATCAAGTCTTGCCATCAAAATTCACCACACAAGGACGTAGGATTCTGCTGGTGCCTGATCTATATTAATACTTGGTGATAAATTAGTTTGTTACAGCTGATGCTGTGCCCTGGGAAGTATAAGGGAGTTGTCCCCGACAGACCGTAGGCACTGCTTGTCGCAGTGTGGAGACTAGTGGTAAGAGGAGGTTTCTTGATGCTAGTGAGGGTCTCGTGATCTAAGGAATTTGATCTCTGCTCAAATTTCTAGAATATCTTGAATGTCTTCATTATCACAGGCGTTGTAGGACCCCGACGGGATTAGCGCTCCTCTGCTGCAATAATATTTTACAGGCGCAAAAGTACTCGGTTGATTGTAAAGATGAATTGCAGAACAGATGAACTTTGAACAGTTTTTATTATACTTGGATGTTTTACTAAATTACACAAGCTACAAATTAGTATTTAAGTTCATTGGGATGACTAAAAATTTGTAATTAGTAAAGCTATTTTTTTAAATTAAAATATATAATGGTATATCGTTATTTATTCGTGCAGGTGTCCACTGCGTTGACCTTTCCCGGCAAGAACAGCTGCGGTTTCACTGTGGTCCCGAACGATGTTCTTCTTTTGGCTTGCGTCGCCGCCAACGCTACCAGCAAGTACCCTGCCTTCTACGAGAAGATCCTGGAGGAGGTGATGCTTTACGAGGTGACAGAGGAGAGGCAAGGCCATGGCAAGCTCTTCATAAGATTCCGGCAGAAGATAGAGACTGAGAGTGCTAATGACCTGGCGATGTGGTAAGTGACTACCTGGTCCCGAGTAGTGCCAGTTTGTGGGGGTGATCGTGTGTGACAGGTGCTGATACATGTAGGATTGATGAGTTTTTTTTTCTCCATTTTTAAGACATGACCCACGAAGCAGAATATGCATCCCAACTTTGAGTTTTATTTATTTTGTTTTTCAAACGCGGGATTTTTCTTAATTTTTCTCTGGTCTGGCCACAGTTGTAAAAGCATTAGCATTGTCATGTGGTTCTTACCTCCTATGAAGCGAGTTTATACTTTTTGTGTTGGTTTCAACATAAATCTTGAGCCCTAACGTGAACTTTTTTTTTTCCAAAATTTTGTTATTTATAATTTAGTGAATATTATCCACACTGTTGGGGGAGGAAATTGTTGCCAGTGTTGCCTGGGTTCCGAAGACTAACTAGTAAACTTTAAAATCGATATGATGATTTTTTTCTGTACTTGCTTGAAATGTTAATTATGATCTTTTCGTGTGGAAGCTTGCACGAACGTGTTACTATTTAATTGTACTGATTGCTAAATATTTTAATCCACCCATTTATAAATTTAAATACCTTTAAGAGTGTTTAATAGCAATTCCATCTTGTTCTGTTTGTATTGGTAATATACTTAATGTCTATAAAACAAATACGACTTCCATCTAAGAGTAATGGCTAATATCCCTTCAAAAACATTTCACTTTAAAGTAAATATTTTTAACTTTTAGATAAGTGCGCACAAGTGGCCTACCAAACAGTGATTAACAGTAATAAATTACTTGTACATGAAAGGCTCTGGAAAGTTTCCTAGCAGCTGTAGGTTCAACATTCCATAGGTGAATGAGGATATGTTTAGAAATTCGCGATAGATATCGAATATACTAAAGTATTTAATGAGCTTGATCCTGCAGTCAGGTCGAAGCAAAAAACCGTGTTCTCGTTTTAATGAAAGCAAGATACATTTTGTTTATTATTAAATCGAAGTCGTTATAGTTCTACCTGACTTGATAGACCGACAGGCGATTAGCAGATGGATTATCGAGACTTCCACTCTGACACCTCGACACGGACCATGACTCACTGTTGTCTTCCTGACAGGTATTCCCTGATCCAGTGTAGCGCCTTCCCTGTTATCCCTGCCTGGTCCTCCAGCTTCCGCACTAATCTCTTGTGGGGGAACTGTCAAAATACTAGTTAGTCCAAGAAAATGCAGTCTACCCACCCCTCTCTCTTCTTACAGCCGTCACCTTGTCAAAGAACTAGAGTAGGTGTGTGCCAGGATTTCCCGTCCCTGAAACCGTGCTGGCTGTCATTGCTAAGCTCATTCCTTTCTAGGTGCTCCACTTCTCCGAGCCACAAGAGTTTATAAATACCCAAATACCTATTTTCTGCTAGTTGAACCTGCGAAGGTATAAGAGGAATTGAATATTCGTTTGGTTCCACCCGTCTCTATACTACTATTCTCTACAAGCCGAACACTATTCTTTTAATGTTAACTCTGAATAGTACTATTTTAGGTACCTACGTCTGATTTTATTGAGCACTGAGTGACTGTTTTATTTTATGAAGCGCTAAACACGTGTATATCATTCAGCAAAGAACAGAAGTCTCGATAATCCATCTGCTAATCGCCAGCTAGTTTAGAAAAGTAGAGACGTGTGGAAATAGACGAATATTCAAATCATCTTATACCTTCGCAAGTTCAACTAGCGGAAAATAGGTATCTGGGTACTTATAAACCCTTGTGGCTCGGAGAAGTGGTGGAGCACCTAGAGACGAATGAGCTTATCAAGGACAGCCAGCACTGTTTCAGGGACGGGAAATCCTGTCACAAACCTACTGGAGTTCTATGACGGGTGACGGCTGTAAGAATATAGATAGAGATATAGATAGATATAGATAGATATAGATATAGCTAGATATAGCTAGAGATAGCTAGAGATAGCTAGAGATAGCTAGAGATAGCTAGAGATAGCTAGAGATAGCTAGAGATAGCTAGAGATAGCTAGAGATAGCTAGAGATAGCTAGAGATAGCTAGAGATAGCTAGAGATAGCTAGAGATAGCTAGAGATAGCTAGAGATAGCTAGAGAGATAGCTAGAGAGATAGCTAGAGAGATAGCTAGAGAGATAGCTAGAGAGATAGCTAGAGAGATAGCTAGAGAGATAGCTAGAGAGATAGCTAGAGATAGCTAGAGATAGCTAGAGATAGCTAGAGAGAAGCTAGAGAGATAGATAGAGAGATAGCTAGAGATAGCTAGAGATGAGTAGAGATAGAGAGATAGAGAGATAGTAGAGAGATAGAGAGAGATAGAGAGAGAATAGAGAGAGATAAGAGGAGTAAGAGAGATAGAGAGAGAGAGAGAGATAGAGAGAGAGATAGAGAGAGAGAGATAGAGAGAGAGAGAGAGAGAGTAGAGAGAGAGATAGAGAGAGAGATAGAAAGAGAGATGAGATAGAGAGAGAGATAGAGAGAGAGAGATAGAGAGAGAGAGATAGAGATAGAGAGAGAGATAGAGAAAGAGAGAGAGGAGAGAGATAGAGAGAAGAGATAGAGAGAGATGAGAAGAGAGAGAGAGAGAGAGAAGATAGAGAGAGATGAGGAGAGAGAGAGAGGATAGAAGAGATGAGAGAGAGAGAGAGATAGAGAGAGAGAGATAGAGGAAGAGAGAGAGATAGAGAGAATAGAGAGAGAGAATAGAGAGAGAGATAGAGAGATAGAGAGATAGAGAGAGAGAGAATAGAGAAGAGATAGAGAGAGAGATAGAGAGAGATAGAGAGAAGAGTAGAGATAGAGAGATAGAATAGAGAGATAGAGAGAATAGAGAGATAGAGAAGATATGAGAGATAGAGAGAGATAGAGAGATAGAATAGAGATAGAAGATAGAGAGATAGAGAGATAGAGAGAAGATGAGATAGAATAGAGAGATAGAGATAGAGAGATAGAGAGTAGAGATAGAGAAGATAGAGAGATAGAAGATGATAGAGAGATAGAGAGATAGAGAGAGATAGAGAGATAGAGAGAAGATAGATAAGAGATAAGAGAAGAGAGATAGAGAGATGAGAATAGAGAGATAGAGAGATAGATAGAAGATGAGAGATAGAGAGATGAGAGATAGAGAGATAGAGAGATAGAGAGATAGAGAGATAGAGAGATAGAGATAGAGAGATAGAGAGATAGAGAGTAGAGAGATAGAGAGATAGAGAGATAGAGAGATAGAGAGGAGAGAGAGAGATAGAGAGAGATAGAGAGAGAGAGAGAGAGAGAGAGAGAGAGATAGAGAGAGAGAAGAGAGAATAGAGAGAGAGAGAGAGAGAGGAGATAGAGAGAGAGAGAATAGAGGAGAGAGAGAGATAGAGAGAGAGAGTAGATAGAGAAGAGAGAGAGATAGAGAGAGAGAGATAGAGAGAGGTGTGTATATAGAGATGTGTATATATTTATATATATATATATATAGAGAGAGAGAGATAGATTGCATTTTCTTGGACTGTAAGAAGGCGTTTGACAGTTCCACACAAGAGATTAGTGCGAAAGCTGGAGGACCAGGCAGGGATAACGGGGAAGGCACTACACTGGATCAGGGAATACCTGTCAGGAAGACAACAGAGTCATGGTCCGTGTCGAGGTGTCAGTGGGGGCGCCTGTAACGAGCGGGGTGCCACAGGGATCAGTCCTAGGACCGGTGATGTTTCTGGGATTGGTGTACGACTTGAAGGAAGGAATAGAATCTGAAGTGTCCCTGTTTGTAGATGTGGAGTTGATGCGAAAAATTAAATTGGACGAGGCTCGGGCAGGACTACAGAGGAATCTGGACATACTGCAGGCCTGGTCCAGCAACTGGCTCCTGGAGTTCAACCCCACTAAATACAAAGTCATGAAGATTGGGGAAGGGTAAAGAAGACCACAGACGGAGTACAGTCTAGGGGGCCAGTGTCTACAAACCTCATTCAAGGAAAAGGATTTTGGTGTGTGTAACACCGGGCACATCTTCTGAGGCGCACATCAACCAAATAACTGCTGCAGCATACGGGCACCTGGGAAACCTATGAACAGCATTCAGACATCTAAATATGGAGTCATTTAGGACCCTGTACACTGTGTACGTTAGGCTCGTATTGAAATATGCAGCTCCAGTTTGGAACCCTCACCTAGCCAAGACAGCCCCCTTAGCTCTGGGACTAATGTCCTACGAGGAGACGTTAAGGGAAATCAGCCTGACGACACTGGAAGACACGAGAGATAGGGGGGAAGATATGATAACGACATATAAAATACTGAGAGGTATAGACAAGGTGGACCAACAATGTTTCCGAGATGGGACACATCAACAAGGGGTCACAGTTGGAAGTTGAAGACTCAGATGAATCGCAGGGATGTTACGAAGCATTTCTTCAGTCAGTTGTCAGGAAGTGGAATAGCCCGGGTAGTGATGCAGTGGAGGCAGGATCCATACATAGCTTTAAGAAGTGGTATGATAAAGCTCACTGAGCGGGAAGTGACTGAGTAGCTGCCAGTTGGAGGCGGGGCCAGAAGCTGTGAATCGACCCCCGCAATCATAACTAGGCGAGTACACACACTCATCACTCACTCACTTTCTCTCACACTCGTAAGCATTCAGCACCCAATTTTCCAACTCCTTAAGGGCCCAGTTTAATAGGCCTTTAGCATCCTGTTCAGAAAGCCTATAACCACCGCATTTTAATTAAATTTCACCACAGATTACTAAGCCTTTATTTAGTAAGCCATCACGGCATAATATCTACCCACCCGGTTTGATACTCCTTCAACCTTTTCACAAATTCCTATCCAGGGTGCAAGGTGGCAAGAACTACCTCCTGATAGCTGACTCAATGGAGGTGGCGGAACGTATCGTCCACACACCAACGGGGCTTAAGCTAATAAAGAAGACCAATTATCACGCCTTGTCTCGTCTCTACCACTGGACTGGCCAGTACTTCGACCTTCTGCAAGAGCTGCCGGGGACCCACCCTCGCGCCGTCACCCACTTCCTCGTCGGCAACATCCACTTCATTGCTGTCGCTAACTTTAGAAATAATAAAGGTACGTAAGGAGGGTGAGTAGGGTAGAGGTGACTGGATAGATGGGAGGAGGGAATTTGATTTCTAGTGTTCCCGGGTTATATGTGAATTTATTAACCTATAAGCCAAGATGTTCACGACACAGCAGGAATACCAATGTAGTACAGCCTCTCCTCACTGAGCGACGTACTCGTTTACCGACGCCTCGGACTTACGACGCAATGACCAGTATTTCTGCCTGATTTTTCTCTATTCAGTTTGTTTCAATATACGGTACACTACTGTATAAACATTTAAAAATATTCCAGAAATGTTATAAATGGTGCAAAGGTGACATTAAAACAATATCAAAGATGGTCGACACACACTACCATTATAATATGCTCCTCACTTAGCGACGAATTCGTTTAACGACGTGGTCTCAGGAATGCAACTCCGTTAAGTGAGGAGAGGCTGTATTCTAATATTTTCTGGGATATATAGGCTAATTCATGGCAGGTATCTTTAAAATAACAAAGTAAATTTTTTATACTATGCATTGATTGAATGCATGCTTCTGACATTCTTCTCATAATCGGAGAGATTTCCTTCGCCTCTGAAAATTTGTGTTAAATTATGTTCTTTTCATATTTAGTTACTAAAAAGTTGGAAATTTAATTATCGTATCACCTTGTCATTTACTTTATGATCCACTTTTAAGTTATAGTATATTTAAAATCTTCACACTCTTAAAATTGTCAGAAAATTACTTAATTTTGTTTACATTAACATATTCCCAAGCTGCTTAAACAGGATTCAGCAGGACAAGGGCTCTTGGTCCTTCAGGAATAGTACCAGATTCACTGTAGATGGAAGTTCAGGTTGTTTACATCTTGTAAGTGCTCCTTAGTACCACTTGTCAGTTTTTTTATTCTTCATGTGTACCGCATTTTCTCAGGAGTCGGGGTTTCCATAATTGCCGGTGTGCCTGTAGGGAACTCGGAAAAGTTATTTTGAAGAGTTTTTATAACAGATGTGGGCGTATGTAACTGGTGACTGGTATCATAGAGCACTAAATACCCTTTTGCCTTCCCTTCCCCTCCCCAGTGCTTCTAAAAATTAGACTTTGAAACCTCTACCAAACATTTTATGTTGATGTTAATATTTGCATATACTTTTTTTTTTACCTTTAGTATGAAACTTTTTTTTTTTCTCGCTTTGTTCATATTTTTTATAACTATTTTGGTGTCTAGTCCCTAATCCAGCTACACTCCGGTCATTTTCTGCAGGTCATTACAACTGCCACAGCTTGATCTACCGCTACTCTGTAGACATGGGTCATTATGTGGTCTTCCAGGAGGTGTTCACCAAGGGCGCATATTATTTTGAGAGCTTCACCTTAGGAACTGAACGCCGCAATCACACCTTCCTCGCCGTCGCCAACTACTGTGAGGACGACGATGACGGTGAGTGTTAACTGGGTAGTGGACTCTTAGCTTCTCTTAGACTATAGTAAAATTAAGAAAGCGACTGACAAATTAAAAATAAATTCTAGGTTATGGACTGAAAAATTAAACTGATTTAATTTCAAATTCGTTGGTATGTGGATTCTAACTATAGTATTTTGCTTTATGCTTCCTATTACAAGAACTTGTACACGTGTTCATGAGTTGCTTTCGGTTAGTGGTGCCTTGTAGCATGTAGGAAATTGTACAGTAAATTGTCATCTTCATTAATAGTTAACAGCAATGTTTATTGAATATTCTAACAAACAATATGGTAGTGTGTTCATTTATAGTCACTACTATATTGGAACAGAGTCTTGCAAAGATCAGTGTGAATCGGTTATCTTATACGTCTACTGAAGTTTCCTGTCAATTAACCCAAGTTCAGAGTGAGTTATCCTTAAATTGGTAATAGTCAAATATAAAATTTAATTGTTGAATAACAGGAACATTGTGTTTCGAGAGGTGAAGTTATCTAGAACTTAGTGAAGGTTTCTCCCATGCAGTGGGCGTCATCTGAGCACACAGCATCACCAAGCTTCTCAGTAGCTTGATAAAACCCACTGATAAATAACAAAAAAGGCACAATACCGTGACTGGAACGATACACAAATAACCCGCACATAAACGAGAGAAGCTTACGACGACGTTTCGGTCCGACTTGGACTTTGTAAATGGTCCAAATCGGACCGAAACGTCGTCGTAAGCTTCTCTTTTATGTGCGGGTTATTTGTGTATAAAACCCACTGCGTTGGCGGAACCTCGTCAATAAAGGTTTCCCCAATAATTGCTCCTCTGCTTACCTTCGTGGTGGTATTTCGATGGTACATACCCAGGATCATCTAACTCTTTTTATAATGGAAGGAACATGGCTACAAATTTAAGAATTTAAGTTCTTTAACCTAAACATGAATACCATGACATATTGCTTTAGTGAACTTACGCTCGTCTTCTAATTTGATTTTATAGAAACTATCCTTATTTAAGTACCCATGGCTTCTTACGCTGTTATTGTCCATTATGGTTTAGTCTTGCAACACAAATAAAACTGTTTGGGTGCATATAGCGAGAACGTCTCAAAAATATTAACAAGGGGCTGAAACTTCTATGTAATGAAGATAGAGCGCCTTGTAAGTCTGTCGCTGCCCTCAGGTCCGTGTAACCCCGACACCACCTCAGCAATCTACCGCTATCACTATGGCAAGTTCGTACTCTTTCAGGAGATCCGCACCTCCTACGCCGTGCAGTGGCTCGCCATCCAGGTTTGTATTACTCTCATAAGAACATAAAGGAGGAACACTGCAGCAGGCCTGTTGACCCATACTAGGCACGTACTTTACAATCCATCCCACTAAGAAAACATTTGCCCAACCAATTTTCAATGCCACCCAAGAAATAAGCTGTTAACCCTATCCATTCATATGCAAGCCCCACTCAAATCCAACCCCCTCTCACTGGTGCATTTATCCAACCTAAATTTGAAACTACCCAAGGTTTTAGCCTCAATAACCCAACTAGGTAGACTGTTCCACTCATCAACTACCCTATTTCCAAACCAATACTTTCCTATATCCTTTCTAAATCTAAACTTGTCTAATTTCAATCAATTACTGCGGGTTCTCTTGGAGAGATCCTCAAGACCTTATATATATCTCCTTTATTAATACCAATCTTCCACTTATACACCTCGATCATGTCTCCCCTCATTCTTCGTCTAACAAGTGAATGTAATTTAAGGGTCTTCAATCTTTCTTCATAAGGAAGATTTCTAATATGTATTAATTTAGTCATTCTACGCTGAATGTTTTCTAACAAATTTGTCTATTCTGTAATATGGAGACCAGAACTGGACTGTATAATCTAGGCGAGGCCTTACTAATGATATATAAAGCTGTAATATAACCGCTGAACTTCTGTTGCTTACACTTCTTGATATAATCCCAGTAATCTGTTTGCCTTATTACGTACGCTTAGGCATTGCTGTCTTGGTTTAAGGTTACTGCTTACCATAACCCTCAAGTCCTTTTCACAATCTGTATGGCTAAGTTCTACATTATTTAACTTATAAGTGATAGGGTTATGGACGCTCCCGAGCTTCAGAAACTTGCATTTATCTAAATTGAACTGCATCTGCCACTTTGCTGACCAGGTATTGAGTTTGTCTAAATCCTGCTGAAGTTCCCTGATATCTACGTTTGAATCAATTATCCTACCTATCTTTGTGTCATCGGCAAATTTGCTCATTTCACTAGTAATTCCCTCAAGATCCTTGATATATATTAAACAACAACGGGCCCAAGACTGATCCCTGTGGAACGCCACTTGTTACAGATCCCCACTCGGATTTAACCCCATTTATGGACACACTCTGCTTCCTGTCTGTGAGCCATGACTCTATCCACGAGAGCACTTCCCCCCCCCCCAGGCCATGAGCTGCCACTTTCTTTAAGTCTTTGGTGCGGAACTCTATCAAAAGCCTTACTAAAATCTAAGTAAATATCAAATTCTTTATCGTGATCAACAGCCTCAAAAGCTTTACTGAAGAAAGTTAATAAATTAGTTAGACAAGAACGGCCTCTCGTGAATCCATGCTGAGTATCATTAATCAAGCTATGCTTATCGAGATGGCTTCTTATAATCTCAGCTATAATTGACTAGTAATTTGCCTACAATTGAGGTCAGGCTTATTGGGCGGTAATTTGACGGTAACGACTTGTCCCCTGTTTTAAAAATAGGAATTACATTAGCCATCTTCCACATATCAGACACTACACCTGTTTGAAGAGATAAATTAAAAACATTAGTTAATGGTTCACAGAGTTCCATTTTGCATTCCTTAAGAACCCTTCAAAAAACCTCATCAGGACCCGGCGACTTATTTTGCTTCAGTCTCTCTGCTTCACAACCATCTCACTAGTGACTGTGATGTTACATAATTTATCTTCTTCAGGCCCACTATAAAAATTAATTATTGGAATATTGCTAGTGTCTTCCTGTGTAAAAACCGAGAGAAAATAATTATTTAAAATCGAGCACATTTCATTCTCTCAGTAAGATGCCCATAGTTATTTTTAAGACGACTTATCTTATCTCTAACTTTCATTCTGTAAACCTGGAAGAAACTTTTTGGGTTAGTTTTAGAATCCCTAGCAACTTTAATTTCATAGTCCCTTTTAGCTTTTCTTATCCCCTTTTTAACGTCCCTCTTAATGTCAATATACTGATTCATAAGATGACCCTTGCCTCTTTTGATACGCCTATAAATTATCTTCTTATGCCCTAGTAGATATTTCAGCCTATTATTCATCCATTTTGGGTCATTTCTATTTGATCTAATTTCTTTATAAGGGATAAACGTTCTTTGAGCAGCATGTATAATGTTCAGAAAACTGGCATATTGATAGCTCTCTTCGTTACCCCAGTCAACAGATAAGCGTTCTCTAAGCACATTGTAATCTGCTATGCGAAAATCTGGAACTGTTATTGAAATGTCCCTACTATCATATTTCCATTCTATGCTAAATGTAATTGATTTGTGATCGCTTGTGCCGAGTTCCTCATTAATTTCTAAATTATTAACAAGGGTTTCCTTGTTCGCCAGAACCAAATCAAGGTTATTTCCCCTTGTAGGTTCTGTCACAAACTGCTTCAAAAAACATTCCTGAACTACTACTAAGAAGCCATTTGATTCTAAATTCCCAGTCAAGAAATTCCAATCAATGTAACTAAAGTTAGTCCCCTAGAATTACTACATTATCGTTCCTTGTGGCCTTAATTTCCTCCCACAGTAATTTCCCATGGTCCCTATCTAAGTTTGGGGGACGGTATATCACTCCTAGAATAAATTTTTTAATACCCCTCTGAAAATTCTATCCAGACACGCTGTGTGTGTTACCTCAGACTTGATACCAGTTTTTATGCAACAGTTCAAGTGATCTCGGACATGGTGCCACTCCACCTCCCTTACCGATATTTCTATTTACTTGGAACAATTTAAAACCCTGAATGTGATATTCCGAAGGCATGTACCGACTTTTGGAATTAAACCATGTCTCAGGGATTGCAAATACATCAATGTTAGTGTCTGACACTACACTCTACATATACTTTCTCTTAATGTATTGTGTATCGCTTAGTTTTCTGTAAATGTTTGATATAACCAGTGTAATTAATATAGTAACTTCAGATTAGCTTTCCCCACAAGCTATTTTTCTCTAAAAATATTTTTTTTCACATTCTGCAATGAGAAAAGTTGGTAATTACAAATTTAGGGTTGGAGATTCTGAATCATACATAATCATACTGAAAATAACTTTAAAAGAAAATTCCCCCACCTGGGTAGGGATTGCCGACTTTTCCAACCCTGTTTTTTCCTGCATCTTTCTTCTCGTGGACATAAATGGTATAAAATATCGACACGATGGAAAGATACAAATGCAGTATAATGCGATCCATTTTCTCCCACTCAGTGGTCCTTACAGTCTCAAACAAATCCGTGGCCTGATGAAGCCCACTTTGTGAGCGAAACTTTCAGTAAAGGGTCGCATTATATTGCATTCCCAATACTTCTTCATTTCATCTCGTCTAAGTCTCCTATACTCTTCATTGTGACCTAGGTTGAAGACACGGTGTTGCTTGCTGTGGCCAGCGCTGCTTCAGGTGTTAAATTTTACCAGTACAACGGTTGGAGGTTCGTGCCTACAACTGTACAATACTTCTCAGGACCCTTCAGTGCCGGGGTCACCTCCATGGCTACTGTCACGTGGAACAGTATCTTCTTAATGGGTTGGTCTTCCTGGCTTGCTTGTGTTGGCTTATGGTTTACTTGCTTCAGTTTATGTGAAGTGGGTGCAGGTGGAGGTATGTGTGCGGAAGAGGGGGTTGGAAACGTTTTGTACATGAACCGATTGGCTGGGATGGGACGGCTCGGCTTGTATGTAATGGTGGGGTATAGTGTTTGTATAAGATGAAATTGCTTGCAAGTCTGGATATTTAAACTGATAATTCTGTAGAATTGCGGGGTGGGTAGTGTGAGTGTAAGCTGCATGGCTTGTATAAAATGGGAAGGATGGCTAAGTATTCTATGAGGTTCGCTGGTACTGCCGATCCGGGTCTTCTCCAGATGGCGACCCGGCCAGGATGGCTAAGTAATGTATGAACAGTGAGAAGAGCTTCATGTAGATAATGAAGTTATTTTTATCGTAATACCTTGGTTAATAATGTGTAATTGCTTTCTTCTCCCGAATCTAACCTTAAAATCTATTCCGTCGCCAGCCTTGACGAACAGCGACCCAGGGAAGGCCACCCCAGAGACTGCAACTCTATACGCACTCTCCTTTACGAAAGAAAAGTCTCTACAGGTGGGTACGTGCGTGTTAAATACTGTAATACTGTTTTGACACGTCTTGTTAAACCAGTAGACGAATCCCTGCTTTGATAATGACACTGTGCGCAGGTTATGACGTTAGAAAGTTTTGTTCACATGACGTTTAATTGATCAATGAACTGATACTTCCTGGTGGGCGTAGTTTTTAATAAAATGTCATAATCTACACACTGCATTTGCATATTACCATTTTATATTGCTTGCTTTACTGACCACTTTTTCTCTCCCTCTCACATTTTTACTTTGATTTTCTGTGCTCTTTTCAAATTCCACATTCTATCCTTTCTTTTCCCATGGTCTGTTGTTCTTCCTGATAGAGGTTTCGAGAGAGCTCGCTTCAGTGGTGCAAGGAGCGCCTGCTGGGGCTGGATTATCAGTGCGTAAGCACCTGGCGGCTGGTGAAAGCCGCTCCTAAAGTGAACACGCCTTATACTTTCATCCAGCCAGCCATCATCCACGGTCACCTCTCAGTCATATCGTCAAGTGAAGTCGGAAAGGTAGGCACAGCTGGCTGTGTCATCCTTGTCACCAAGCCATAGTAGAATAAAAAAAAAAAATCTTGAATGTACGCTGATGATCCTCAAAGGAAAAGGGTTTATTAAATTTTTAATCTATTTTTTTTTCACCGACTAGTGTAATGACCTGACCTTGCAAAAATGTTCATACAAAAATTCAAAGTTCAACGGTTTTTCTTAACGTTGAAGGTGGCGATTGGGGGGGGGGGAAGGGCTAATCTTCAGGTGTCCCATTAAAAATATTAAATGAGCAAGTAAAGTTGCTGATGCCTTTTTTAAATTTGATGCTAATGATTTTGTCATTAAAGTATGATTTAATGACTAACTTGTTAACCAGGCTGACTTCATATCTTGCATGGCGGTTTCAGGTATACGATAAGTCACATGGCAGGTGGGTGCCGGAAGTACGAGGTGATCTGGCAGAGGTAGTGATGACCCTGGGCCACGAAGTCAATAATATCAGGACCAGGCTCCGCAACGCCTTCTCACTCATAGGTCCCACCACTTGGCCAGGTCAGTATAGTTAATTACTCCCATCCTTCCATTTGTAGGTTGGATTCGCAATACATTGTTTGCCCTGGCCCACTGTTTCTGGCCACCCTGTTGCCCAGAATGCCAGGAGCCTACACAAGGCTACACCCAGGTGCTGTACACCTTATTTATCAACACATTGACATTGAGTAGTGTTGGTGGTTGGTAGTTCTTGGTGGTATACCTGGTTCAGTATCTGCATAGCTGGAGCTTTTGCCAACTGGAAGTTGCCTTGGTTCTGTATAATTGAATTTCCCATAATTAAAGCAGTTTAATAGCATTTTTTTCCACCCTGTAAAGGAAAGGGTATTTGAATCTGAATCTCTTCGTGAATTTCTGCTAGTATTTCCTTATTCCCGCTATTAGTTTGTGATGCGGACTTGTGCTTGACTCGGTTTACTTTAAATTTATGGCGGTTTTTCCAACTTTCAAATCTCGTCTCGTCCACCTCATGGTATCTCTAAAACGCTAGTCACACTACCCTCATCTGGGTGGTGGTTTTTTAGTCGACTGAGGTAACGGATGGAAGAGGTTATGACTACTTTGTCGACCTGGTTCAAAATATTTGTTGGGAGAAATGTTAGTAGAATGAAAAAGGTGTCTGCTTTCTTTTCCGTTTTGGTTGTTTTAAAGACTTACAGCACGTTTTATAGCATTAAGGGTGAATACTAGGCCTAATAATTCTCTAACATTACTAATGATTTTGCTCTTGGTTGACACCTGGGTATTCCGTGCCAACACTAAGCCTAACTGATCAGGGCTGGTTTCCTCACTCGTGACCTGCGTGTTAACAGTAACAAGACACCAAACTTCAATTAGTAAGATGACATTAATCATTATAAAGTATATATATCTGTATATATGTATGTATATTTAGTGGACGAGGATAAATAGCGGGTTATTGAAAACTGCGTTGCTAGTGATTTCTGCTAATGGACTGAAAAACATATGGGAAAAAATAGGGTTGCGTTCTGCAGACCTATAAAAGAGCTATAACAAATTTTCACATGAAAATAGTTTTTCTTGCCCAAGTCATTTATAATGCTCTGAAATATGTTACGTTTATTAAAGCTCAGTTGAAAGTAATAGTAGAGTAAAAAAAAAAAATATCTGTACATTATTTGTTACCTCCAAGTAAAGTTCAGGATGCTTGTCTGGGAGTGGTAATGGTGGCTACTGTCCTACTAGGTTGAGGGTCCAATGATGTAAATTCAGTTAATTGTTGAAGTGGAGTGCTCAGATACTCAGTCATATGCTGCTATGTTTCACCTTGTAGTTCTTTAAATCAGACACTGTCTACCGAACAGTATGCAGTGACTCTTGCAGTGTCAGCTCCTTCAAGCTCGGGTTCATTGTTTTTTTTTGCAGCTGGAAATCTAATTCCTGCAGCATTTTATTGGTTTATACACTACACTGCGTGTGGTGGCACTTCAGTTTTGGTAACACCTCGATCCCATCGTGTATCGAGGATGTCATATTTGGTGGTAAAAAGACAATCTTAACATCTGGCTCCAAATCCTCCAGGAGTTGAGGATGAATAAAATTAAAGACAAAGAATACTGAATGCAAGATTTTTCAGGGACTGGTACAGCCTTGCCTAAGGAATAGTGATGCACAAGCCACTCAGTGAAGAGTGCATCAGTCCCCCATGCTATGGCATTGGACTTCCAAATAACAGGCAGTGTGCTTTTTTTCCCCTAGGCACGGGGATTCTTGGACCTATAAAGTCCCCCTGATGCATTATCGCAAAGAAGCAAGCTTAAACTTATCTCTTATGGCCTTCAATTCAGGAGCAGTTTTCTCTGGTTTCCAGTTGTATGTTCTACATGGTATTATGATCAGTCAACCTGCTCAGGTTTGTAATCCTCAGAGTTAATGCTAGCCATCATGGCTGGGAACTGTTTTTGTGGTAGCTTGGTCGGCCACTGAACTTTGTGCAAACCACTGCGAATACTAAATCTGTTAACCATCCAGAACCAGGTTATTTTCTGGCTGTTTTTGCCTCCTTAGCTGGACTTTTTTTTTTTTTTTTTTTTTTTTTTTTTTTTTTCCCTAATGTTTTTAATCCAGACATTTAGTAACCTTTCTGCTTTAATTAACTTTATTGACCCTGTCACACTGATGATTCCTCGTTGCACAAGTCCATATCTTCGCCTCGTTGTCTCGAATTGACTAAATCTTATTCTCCATCACCAGACAAACGCCATAACGGAAATGAATTCTGCTCTCGCGCACCTTAATGCAAATAAGAACATGGGCGAGCTTCTATCAACTACTATATACTGTGTATTATGTATATGTATAATCAACACTAGCTAACAAGAGGGTAACAATGCACAGCAGAGTGAATGTTTTTGACCTTTCACATTGCCACTGCAAATGTTTTGAAGCAGAGATAGAATTCAGGAAAGCCTGGCAGGTATCATAACCAAACAAGCAAGAAAAGACCAGTCAGTAGCTCGAGACCCCAGCTAGCCACGACTTTAAGTGCAAAACTTAAGTAAGAATGAAAAAATATCGCTAAGAACATAAGCCTCGCAACCATGCTGGTTAGCAGTAATATATAACTCCTATAACCTGTTAGTAATCAACGGTCTGCCGAGTGTCCTTTGTATTTCGATTATACTAGCAATACACGAATTTGTCGAGCGTCTTAGGTATACCACAGTTCTGAGTAATTTTTCATTGTTCGTAATTAAACTCCTATCTACCACACTTGTAATCTCTATATCAATTACATGTAGAAGCTCCAAAAATTCGTAAGTAATACACTAGTCATGTTTGCCAGCACATGGCAATTTCTAGTATTCGTGAATAACTACTACAGCTCGTGTATCTACCACACTAAACTCCCAATAGCTTGCTCTAGTGATTGTAGTAAAGCTACAGAGTTTTTTAGCTTTACTTCAAACAAATTCTCATTTTTCAATTCTATAGTAAATATCTGATAAAAAATAGCCATGTAAATCTACTTACCTACAGGCAGAATATATATTTTTAAATAAAAACTCTTGATTATGGGTTTTCTCTTAGATGGACTGCGCTTCGCTCAGTTAGAGGCGCGTATGTCTTCTGTGGAGCATCTGGAGTCTACCTGGATCAATGGTCACTCGGTGTTATACAAGGACGTCATTACACTGACTAGCAAGAGTCTGGTCTCTTTCGGAATGCTCCATTTCAAGCACTTGCTTTCTCAGGTAATTTTCTTTTACTCTTGTAGTAAAATCTAAATATAGTCCAGGTCCGAAGTCATTGCCTTAATATATTTGCTTGTTTAACAGTAAGACACCAGCACCTTGGCTCACTAATTTGGTTTAAAGAATTTATCGAAAATTTTGATACAAGATATTTTCAACATGGAGAAACTGTAATTATTTTCTTCACCCACTAGGGACTCTGTCCAATACAGATTACGAACATAGTAATGTATGGCTGAGTAGAATCGGGTGAAGTAGTGGTTGGGAAAAGACTACCACCTTTCGACAATGCACTGGAGATGTTAAAACACCAAAGTTTTGTATAACTATATTTGAAGTAACTATTACTACACATTCTAATTACTAATTTCTACAAATCATCCTTAATGATGAGCTCGACTTTGCTCTTCATAAATAATTTTATGCATAGTGCATGCAGCATTATTTTCCTGCCTTGCAAGCAGTGTTCGGTGACCAGGTTTTATTGCATTTCCTGTGAGTTTCTTAGGTATCAGTCATGAGGAATCTTGTCCCCCCACATTAGTTTTACTCTACACGTGCATCTTTTACATATTAAGTCTTTTTCATGGTGTGTATGGGACTGATAAAGCACTTGGTGGGCGAGTTATTTTTCTACTCTCATTTCATACTTTATTTACACGTCAATATAAAAGTTTAATGCAGAAAATTTTCCATTTTCAATTCCAAAATTTCAGCTATGGTAAGTCTTGCCTACTGAGATCTTAAGGACAGTTTAGCAAAATAAAATAAAAAATGTACATTTAAATGTTAGAAGTAAATATTTCCGAAGCAGATGCCACGAGGGAACCTAGACAACATAGGCTATTATATTTCTCACCAGCATCATCTTAATTCTGGTAGGCTAGACGGATGGTATTGCCGGACATGCGCATTCTAGCTTACACAACTGCTCGCTTCCTGCAGGCTGCAACGTGGGTGGAGAGGTTGATGGACCGAGCAATGTCAACATACGTGACGCTGTCTGGTACCCACGTTCTCCACGGCGATGTAACATTCCTTGGTAATGTGCAGGCAGCCTTCTTGGTCGCTTCTGGGTACCGTAGATGGCGTGAGGGTCACAAAGGACGTCTTGCTACTTACGGCTTCCATGCAGAATCTGACTGGTGCAGTGTAATAGTTATTCGTCTGAGAAAGTGTTATTCAGTTCAGCAAATTGTAATTTCTATTCTCTTAACATTTTTAATGGGTATTTATAGCCCTTGTCCGTTCTTGTGAGACCAGAGTATATTATATGGATTACATTTAAGTAGAATGATTACACAGTTGTGTGTTTTATGCATGGACTTCAATTACCTGGCTTTTAAAGTGAGGAGCATAAAAGCAAGTAAAGCGCTCGTGATCCAGTGAACTGGAAATACTTTCCTTTAATTTAGTTGAATCTAATTGGCTTCCCCTCCCATGACTCTAAGACCCCTAAGGCTTAGAGCTGCCACCCCCCCCCCTCCAGTAATGGTTCTGTTATCAGAGCAAATCAGGCATTATTAATCTTTGCCAGTGTAGAGGAAACTTCCTACACTGGAAACCTGAAGGGCATTGAGATGTGTAATGGAATAAATGTTAAAATGTGAAGGGGAGTAAATCTAGGATCAGCTGTTGATCTTTCAGGGTCAGTCATCTGTGGTCAGCTGGAAGCCTATAATGTACACGTTGACAACATCAACAACATCGACATAAACAAGGTGTTCCAGTCTCTGGTCCTGGCTGGATCTTCGCAAGTGATTCCTGGTAATAGTGTAAATTCTATGATAAACCTTTAAAAAATCTCGTAATAAAATTATATTACCAGATTAGATAACCTTCATATTTTATTTAGGCTGGAGAAAGACAATGTTACATTTGTAGTATCTTTTAAGCATAATGGCTCTTTCAAGGGAAATGCTACCTTGATACCGGTCAAGGACTCTTGTTTCAAGGAACTTGACCTGTCATTCTCTGATCAAACCTGATTCCTTCTCTTGCAGAAAGCGCTGCATGACCTTTATCAGCTTAGTTTTTTTCATTCAAGAGTAATATAGTACGCCTGCGAAGGTCGTAATTTTATAGGCTATCACAGCGGAGAGAATCTTTGCTAGTATGTAGTAGCTGATAAAGACAATGTGGTTAACTTTGTACGGAAAAATCAAATTGTATTTTCTAGGTACGTTCTATAATTGCAGGTCTGGTTGTACGTGGCGACGTCATTTATGACGGCAACCTCAGGGTAGTCAACCCCACTACCGTAGACTTGTACAATCCTCTGAGGGTGGATCTACCTGCAACTCAGATTTTAGCTGGTAAGTATTACGGACCTTTACGAACCTTCCTAGAACAGACTTTTACTGGGTCGATAGAAACTTTTGGCAAGTTTTTATTTATCAGTATTGTCGGCAACAAGCTATTTGGGTCAAACTAGTTTGACCTCATTAGGGGCTACTAAGGCGACATTTATAGCATATGCAGAAATCCGGAGGTCTGATACCAAAGCTGCTCAGCAACAGATTAAGGAAAGCGCTGTATTGATTTGGTGTGTGAAGCAGGAATGGGTTTACACTGGTTCACTTCATAAGCCTCGACTTTACTTCATGGGCTGATTCATAATCTGCTGATACGGAGAGGCAGCCTAGCTAGTGAGGTTGGCTAGGCCAAGCGGTAGCTATAGGTAAAGTTAATAAATGGAAAGATGAGTTTATACACTAACGGGCCCTTTGTAAATAAACACTGATTACCGTCAAACTACTGGAATAATACCAGAGTTTTCAAAGGATTTCGGTGACTGATGTTTTGCATATCCTAGATCTAGTGAAGCAATGAATTAGTAGTACCATAACCAGATAAGATATTGGTGCCAATCAGAAAGATAAACCCAGAAATAGAAAAAAATATCGAAATACAGTAAGTACAGTGAATTTTCACAAGCGTCACTATTGCACTTGTTACCCTGATGAGCGGCCATCTTGGTTACCTACGATCTGTAAACAAAATGCGATGAGAATTTGAAAAGTATTTAGTTTCTGTTGTGAAATATTAAAAAAATAATTTGAGATTACAGCAACGTCGAAACGGTGTGGCTTTTTAATATTTAACGCCAAGTACCGAGTTAATGAAGATGGTCTTCAAATGAAAGAAAGAGGTATGAGTAGCATTGAATATTTATATGAAAATGCTGCAGCAGTTTTAAATGTCACTTTTATATATGTATAACACTAATGCTTCAGAATCTTGATATTAAACAAACATTATTTTTTTAATTTACTAAGTCTTTGCTTGTTTGCATAAGTTACATTAAAGTATCAGTACTAAGGTGTACCAAATATGTAAATTTTTATTAGTGTATTTGTAGGTACTTCATTCCAACATTAAGTGAAAAACCACGACAACCGTGGTTTGTTGCACTCAAAGAAGAGTGTATATTAGCAACTCCTTGTATGGAAGGTCACTAATGTTTAACACTAAAATTAGTCTGACCTGACAAAATGTGCTGAACACAGGTTTTTGAGGTCCCTTTTCCCTTTAGTTATGTTAGATAAAAGGAAACTTTAGCAACTATGCAACACTTTGTGGCAACGTTTTGCTCTCCAGTAGCCGTTACGGTGTGACAAAGCTCCCAGAGAGCAAAACGATGCTGTAATAAAATATCGCACTAGTTGCATATATCCTTTTTACCTAAAATGTTGGTAATTCTACCAACATTATCCCCTTTTATTTAGTTACACCTGAGAAACAAGTCTGTCTTCTCCCCTGTGATAGTTTTTCACAAGCATCGCCTTTATTTTTTTATAACCTCAGGGAATCTAAGTTTATTCAGTTATACGCAAATAGTTATCACACATAGCAGCATGTGTAGAACATATGGCTTATGATTGAACCTATTGTGACAACCCATAACCGTACAGTAATCACATTGCTTTTGTATTGAAAACAAAGTTGCAAAAACCTTGCGCTCTTAAACATGTCTCATCGGATGTAACCAATGTGACAGCCTCTTCAAGGGGGGCTCCTTGGCATGGTGAAGAGGCTCTTGGTCTGAGGAATTAGACCTGTCGGTCTCCTTCCTCAGACCGAACCTAATTACCCCCCAATCCCCCCTTCCCTATCCCATCCTCCCCTTTTCCCTTTCCTCCTCCCCTTTTCCCTTTCCTCCTCCCCCTCCCCACCTCTCCCTTTTGCCCTTCCTCTTTTTGGCCTTTGGTATTTTTCCCACAGGCGCACTAGTGCCTAGGTAGGGGATAGGGTACCGGGGTCCATCCCATTCCGTTGAGGTTCTTGGCGGTGGCGTAGTTTGCCGTGGAATCTGGATCGCCTGGGGATGTCCCGATCCCTCTCCGGTATTCCGGAGAGTGGCATTGGGTGTCTTTCGGGCGATGGGTGTATCTCTGGAAGCCACCTTTTGGATTCCGGGGGTGGTGGCCGAAGGAGGTATGCTTTGTGGTGGATATCCGGCTGCCCTCTCTTTTGTCCACCGAGGTAGCTCGGCAGATGTGAGGTTGCTATCCCGGATTGCTGGTTTACTGGCATGATGGGTGGGGTATGGCACGGGTTCCATGCTGCATCTATGCTACTTGTGGTGCTGAGGTCCTCTTGGGCGCGGAGGGAGATTTCTGGCCCTTACATTCCTCCTAGGAACTATCCCTCTCCGGTCCCCCCCCCCCTTTTTTTTTTTTTTATTTTTCTTTTTTTTTTCTTAAAAACAAAAAGAAAGAAGTAACCTAACCATGGAGAACCCAATCCATGAACCTGGTACCCCCGGACCCCTTCTTGATACCGCACCCCGTTCTGACCCCGCCTCGTCTATGGACCACTCTTCGGACACTCCTCATGCCTCTGTATCTCTTGCCAGTGCTGTTTCCTCACCCGCTTCAGGTACTGAGGTCTCGACTGACTCCTTTGATTTATCTGACCTCTGCTCTCCTTTGACCATGCTTCCGGCCTCTCCCTCTACGGTGCAGCAGTTTTCGAATCGCCGGCCCATTTCACATCGGACCAACTCTGGTCCCACGCCTGAATGCCAACGACAATTACCTGCTGATGATACTTCTCCAACTTCTCGTTCTTCTCAGAAAAGATCGACACGTCCTGCACTCCCTTTCCACGTTCAGTTTCAGACTGCACAATGGACTAAATTCTTCACTTTACGACCGACTTCCTCTACCGCCTATCTTTCCGACCACAGTATTGGCAAGGCACTCCTATGCCATGTTGGTAAAGATTTCTTTTCGTGCTCTTAAGAGCGGTATGCACATCATCACTGTACAGAATGCTACCCAAGCTCATGATCTTTCTCTTCTTTCCCATATAGATACTGTTCCTGTCACTATTGAAAAACATCATTCCCTCAATTCTTGTAGTGGTACCGTCATTCTGCCCCATACCATAGTTCAACAAAATTTCCAAACATGTGGCAATGACATTCTTGAACAGCTGGGACTCCAAGATCTCCCAATCCTCAAGGTAGACACTTATGTTCTTCCTGCCCGCGGACGGAGAGGATACCCTAGCAATGTGGCTCGTTTAACTTTTGACAGCCGTGAACTCCCATCCTCAGTTTATGTAGCAGGACATCGGTTACAAGTTTGAAAGGTGATCCCTACACCGCAACAGTGTAGAAATTGCTGGCGATTTGGCCATCCAGTGAAATATTGCAGATCCATAGCCGAATGCCCAGTCTGTGATGCTGATGACCATTCTAATACGTCTTGCAATCGACCTCCCTCTTGCCTTAATTGTCATGAGGCTCACCCTTCGTACTCTCGCCATTGCCAAGTCTTCTTAAATGAGCAGGAAATCCGTTACCTCAAAGAGGCAGAAGGTCTCCCTTATGCCATGGCAGTTTCTCATCTCCGCCTCCAAGGGAAACTACCTCGTGTTTCTTATTCCCGTGTTTCAAAACGTCCCCCCACTTTTGGGGTCCCATCTTCTGCAGCCTCCTCTGTGGTTACCTCTCCCATAGTCACTCCTGTATCTAATTCTTTTGCTGTCCTAGGCTCGGTCTGTTCTCGCTTCTTCGTGTTCTCCCTCACAAGCCTCAGTATCGACGAGACCTCGTACGACACCTTCTCCCAATCGTCCCTCTACTTCTCAGAAGTCAAAAAAAGGTCCTTTAACTACAACCCCCAATCCCCCTCATTCCTACCACACGGGTGCTCCCCTCCAACACTCCTCTCACCACAACTCGAACAAATGAGGGCAGCCTCAACAGACCCACTCAAGAGGAAAAATAAATATTTTATACAAGTACAATTATTCCAGTGCGTGCAGGAAGCGCGCGCGCGTTCACCAGTATTTCCATTATAACTGTCTTTGAGGTTGACACAGTAATATTTATGCAGGTGAGAGAGGTTCCCTCAAGTGATGAAGTCAAAGGCCAACCATGCCCGAGGAGACATCTCCTTAAAATTACTTTTCTTGAAAAAAGCAGTATTTTTAATTAGTTAAATCATTAAAATGCAGACAGGCTTTTAAGTTTCTCCAGCATGGCTAAACTTGTTACAACAAAAGGAAACGAAACGTTAATAGCAAAGCAATAAGTTTAAATATTAGGAACAGCAATAACTAGAGAATGATTTTTCTGGTCGACCTTAAATTTTTAGGCTGTTTTTTTTAAATGGAAACCTTGTCATGATTTTAGGTTTAAATTGCAATAGGTCCAATTTTTAAATAATTTTATCCCCTCCCCCTCCAAAAAAAAATCTGATCAAAATAAATCGGTTTGACAGTTATTCTAAGTTAAATCTACATAATCTTCATGTAATACATTTTAATTACGTGCAACTATACTTCTAAAACGCTGGCAATTATTCCTTCGATAATTTTTTTGAGCCTGGTTTGGTCTAAATTTTTTTACAGGTGAAACTGTGAAAACTTAAATGATTTTTTCATGAATTTGAGTGCCTAGTCTAATTTCTTTCACACACTAATGCTGATAGTTTGATGATTCAAATTCTAACTGGCTTCAAACTTAGTGTTGTATTTTTGGATAATGGTCTCTGAAATAAGGGGATACCTTTCTCGGATCGCGTAGCGACGGAAATGAATCTACTTTTGAGTATTAAATTTTTTGAGTTAGCGCAGTAAATAGTGGTAATGAGTGAAGTGTTAAAATGACTAAATGAGGTTAAATATAAATGTATAATTTAATGTAAACCGCAATATCCCAAATTTGTTAGCAGATACTGTGACCACTTTATTAGGTACACCTCTACCGTACTGGCTTGGATGCCTCTGCCCCCAGAACATATAAACATAATTATTGTAAAAACTTTCAGGACTCGTGAAAAGAATTAATAGTGAATGTTTTCACTTGTGTACTAAGCTTTTAATACGAGTGAATAGCACCGATCTTTGCGAGCCTATATACTTTATCAGGGTTAGAAATATTTTCTAAGACCAACCATAATTGCATTGTACTTATTCTGCTGAAAGGAAGTGCTAAATGGGAGGGCTAATAAGGTTTAATTAATGAGAGGAAGAGGATTGTTGTAGATTCGCCAGTATAATCGCCCGGCCCGGCCCGGGCCTTTTCCATGAGGTGGCGAGGTCTTGGCTTGTCATGAGTCTCAAACCAGTGTCTGCCATGGGAGGAAGTACAAGTACCTCCTCATCTTCTAGGACCAACTGTCCCCAGCTGTCGCCTGCCTCCACAGGGCTCGGAGGGAGAAGCTGGGCATCTTGGCCTGCCACAAACCCCGCCCACACTGGGCTCGAAGGGTGTGACAGCTGCATAGCAGCAAACGATGTCAGGTGGTGCAAAGGCAGCAAGCACTACGGGATCCTTTTGGAGTCGCACTCCAGCTTTGGGCATTAAGCCAGAGCGCTGTGGAAGCTCAAGAATGCCTCTTGCTGTGTGTTGCTGATGCTGCTACTTCGTGTGTGTGTGTGTGTGTGTGTGTGTGTGGGGGGGGGGGGGGGAGAAACAGGAGGGTACACTTAGTGACTTCATGGGCCATAATCAGTGATGGGCCTTGCAGAGGGGTAGAGAAACTTTCATAAGGCTTCGGCAGAACGTTGGTGCTTCGAGACTATTCTCGACTTGAAGATCGAGAGCGCACTTCTAACTCAGACATTGTTGGCGGGTGCTCCTGCTCCTTCCTGTGTAACTTGTGACGTGTCTTTCCGCCTTCCCGAGGTTTTCATTATCGAGGTGCCTCTCGGAACATCGGAGTCTTTTGACATTAATATTTTAGTGTATCATTTTTTTCATGCCAGTGAGCGCCCAGTGACCTACCCGGTAAGTGCTCCGTAAATGTAAAATACAGTACTACCACACGGGTTTAGTGCTTGACAAGTAACAAATTCAGTTTCCTAAGCAGTCAAACCAAGAGTTAACGAGTGAAGTGACTTAAAAGAATTCTGAAGGTAGTAATAGATACATGAATTGACTTACAAAGATCATTACTACGATCATGAAGCTTGTGTAGAACTGAAATTGTATAGATTTCTTAACCGTTTAAAACTAAATGTTGGCCCATGGAGTGATCGTACGAACAATGTCGGAATTTTCCTCAATTTGTGTAGATAATCCCGTGTGGGTCACTCAGAGCAATGACTGGTGAAGGCTCGATCCTCCGTTGGCAGTTGAAGATCTGTCTTTTTTTTTTCTCCAATGTTGCAGGACATCATTGGGTGGGCGGCGTGAAGTGTCAGTCAACAAGGGTGGCAGGGAAGATCAACGGGGTAATTGTACCAACGGAGGTGTTCCTGAAGTGGTCTAATATGACCTACAGTGTTTCGTCAGCAGCCTTCACTCGCCTCCACGCTGACTCCATCACTATCAACACAGCTCTCCACACCGTCACGGTCAGTATGAGTGTTAGGTATAGCAATGTCCATCTGGGAGTCTGATAAAGGCTGAGTGATTCTGAATGATAAAAATTAAATTTGAGCTTAATTTTGTATATTGGAAACAGGTGACCAATAAGCAGTTGGACGTCCTGCGTGTGTTCGGAGACCAGGTGGTGACTGTTCACAAGACCTTCGTCTCTATAAATCTACTTAAACATCCATCGAAAGATGTTGCTAATTATGGCAGACGTATCCGTCGAAAGTCTGAGACACGAGAACAGACATGCGAATTCGTGGACAGTCACGAACTAACAAAGGAAGAACTGCGTCGAGAGATGCTACTTTGGGTCGTTAGGCGTGTGGCCGCTGCGCAGGACCTGCTGACATTCTTAGCTGCTGTATCCTCTGGCAAGATGATTCTTCCTCAACACAACGTTTCTTTCTATACTGAACTTGCAAAAGATGTTAATTGTGCCTTCTCTAAAGTTGAACACGATGAAGATGGACTGTTGCTCTTTGATTTCATGGTTAATGACATTGGGAAGAAAGAAAGCCAAAGTGACGAACTATTCTTGACACCGGATAGTGTTACAGACATAAAAAACAGCATTAAAGACTTTCTAACACGCATGAGAAGTGAGCTAGCAAACATACAACTAAACTGGCACGATGTGTTTAATATTTTTACCCGTTCACGAAGTTTGAGTCAAAGCATAGATTTAAAAGTGTTGAATCGTCTTATTCACGTATTTCATGAAAGAAATGCGGACGGTGATCCTCGAGACAACTCTGAGAGCTGCAGACGTGTATGTTTTCGAGGGATCTCAGAGAATACAACAGATCATAAGCACGGAGTTACCACATGCTCTTCTGATATTTTAAAAATTTACACTGCCCTTAAAAGAATTACTTTGTATCCTGCCATTATAAAGATAATGTCGCAATTTTCGGAGCAGCAGCTAGAAATATTGCGGATGGCGGTGGTGGAACGGGATTTAGGAAGGTTGGTGAGTATGATCAGGGAAAGGAGGAAATTGTGGAATGGTCTTAAAGTGGTGGTGCTGTGTGGAGACTTTCCAGGAAGACCAGAGGATAGAGGGGAAATCCTGCAATTGTTGCTGACCTACCGCCAGCAACTGGAAATGTCTGCAACAGACGCTCCTACAAGGACCAGGAGAAACCTACTTGCTAGACGTGAGTCTGAACTGTTTCATATTTTAGTAACTTTTTGTAAAATGGTACATAATAAATAGTGCTTTTTGTAATTGAAAACTATGGATAGTTAGTCACTAATTTAATTACACTGGAAGCATAAATGTCAGTTGGAAGTAAACGGTTATGTCAGCTTTTTTAAAAATATTTAAATGTTTTAAAAAGGAATTTGTCTATGAAAATAAATACAATTCTTTTCTCCGATTATATTCTATGTAAAATGTTTTATTTGAATTGCGCTAAGGTACAGAAAAGTATGTCCCTTTACGAACTCTGTACCGCTAAAATTTAACTATTACTACTACTACGCCGCCCGCTCGCCTTACCGTAGTAGGGTGTTAGCGAGCTGAATGGCCAAAGAAACTAGCAAAAAACGTTTCGCCCTAAACAGTTTATACTTTTCTTTTTTTTCCTATCTTCAAAAAATTTTGCCTTGCCTATAATCTGGAACAAATGAAAAGTAAGGTTTATGCTTCGACTTTGGGCAGTTGTGGTTCTTTGAAAGTAGTTAAGTTAGTAAATTGATGTTAACCAATCAGGATAGCTAAAAGCTGATAGCCCCCCCCCCACCTTGCTGACCGATATTATTGCTACTGTGTACTGTCGTTGGTACTGGTAGTGCCACAAGTGAACTACGAATACTTGTCAATACCTCACGTGCACTTGTACCATTTGTATTTGAGGTGCAATTTTTTTTTTTTTACGGCGATTTTAATTTCAGATACGACTGATGCTTCAAACGCTGTTAATACAGCTTCAAACACTATGGTTATTGAAACATTAGGAGCCGATGCTTCCATGACTTGGTTCCCTGATCAGAATCTTCCTTTTTTTTCACTTAGGTCGTGACTTGTCTCAAGATTCCGCTCCAAATCAACTTGGCTCCATGCCTGAAATTCTGCAGTTCTTCGACAACACTACAAGAGAGACACCACCCCTTCCAGAGGCTCCTTCAGGATGCATGTCCAGAGTGTCGTACAGATGCCGCCTTACCTTTACTTAACCACACGTTAACATCCGTTAAGTTGGCTACTTCCAGTGTGTCCACTTTGCGGTCACCTCTGACATGGGAATCACAGAACTTGACTGCTGGGGGCGCTGTGCTCCTTAGCAAGGATATTGGCTCTGAGCTTGTTAGCAAAGCTGCAGATTCTGTGATAGTTAGTGAGACTTCAGACTCTGTACTCGTTAGCGATGCTCCCAAGGACTACTTGTATATTCCACTAAGCGCTCCCCTGACCACAAAAGTTTTATCTGCCATGGATGCAATCTCAGCCTCGAAAAAACCTTGGCCAACAAACCATGGTAGTTCAGCTCCCATACACACTTTCAGAACCAAGTCCCATGAAATCAATTTCGTTCCCTTTCGCTCCCAGGAAAATGTTGCTTCTTCAGTCTCGCTCACAGACTACTGCAAAAACATTTCAGATTTCAAAGATTTTGACAGGTGGCATAAAATAGTAAAGGGGATGAATGTGGTTAAGCAGTATCTTTTCATCATTGCAAAAGCCCTTCCAAAGGATATCGTTGGAGACTTAATTAACAAAAAAATAAATGAAGATATTTTGGACATGTTTGGGATTGTTACTGAAACTATTAAAAATTTTCTGCATAATCCCCTGCAGCCTCTGGGATCTCTGAACTCTAAGAATATGATGAACGAAGCTCTTTTGTTTAATGCTGCGATGGATTTTGCTACTTTATCCCAGTACAAATTTTCTACAGAAATCAAGCACAGGACAACTTATTTAGAAAACCTTCTATCAAATGCTACGCGGGTAATTGCGAAAACCCTGGAGTGTTACCCTTTCTACAACAGAGGTAACAAGTCGGTAACTAATTCCGACAGAAAGCCAAGAAGTCTATCTGTATCTTCAGCTCATGAAGACGGTTCAGATGTAGAAAATATCGTAACAGATCTTATGGAAAATAAAGTAATGCTATCAAGGGCAGATAAATTACTGGAAGCCGTAAATGAGATAATCTCTCTCAATCCATGGATACTGCTGATTGAGCATCCTGTTCCCTCGGTAATAAACTTGTCATTCATTGTCACCACTGCTGAGTATGTAAAAGAGGCTCTGTCTTCAATTTTAGCAAATGAAACTAAATACACTTATAAATACAACTGTAATGCTTTGAGAGGTCTTCTGTTAGATTATAGAACTGCAATGAAGATGGCACAGATGCTTCTTCCAGACCTACCGACAGAGGCTGCTCAAGTGTTAAGCCAGATTTATAGGCCCTTCAAGTCGAGCATGGCTATGAAGCCCAAAAGGCAGTGAATCGTCTTAAAATGTACCTGAAGGACACCCGAGATGACCTTTTGAAGCTATCAGATCCTTCTGCTGTTGCTTTAGCTGCTAGTGGGAGACCTTCGGTCTTCACGTGTTATGATACTGCTAAACCTTCGATTATCGAATATCCTACTGCCATAAATCCTACAGTCACAAGATACCTTGCTGCTACTGCAAAACCTGAGATCAGATATCCTGCTACTGCAAAACCTGTCGTCAGACATCCTGCTACTGCAAAACCCATCACTAGACGTCCTCTGGACACTGAAAGAACTTTGCCTCATTCTCCTGGAAAGACTTCAGTGTTTTGGAAATCCAACTTGGTACCGTCGTGGGTGTTGGGACGAGTGTCCGGCTACAAGCTTGAAGACCTCGTGCGGCAACACGATGCTGTGATAGCCAGAGCACGACATAGACCTGCAGACTACATTGGTAAGTAACATTTTAGATCAGTGTAGCGAATTTATTAGGTTGTGTAGTTGAAAAATAGGTTTAATAACTGCAGGGTTAAAAATCCTCCACTATTAGGTATCATAAGATATAATTAAGAGAACGTAAAGGCCGCAAATGTAGTCACTAAACTAGAATGTGTATTTGGTATACAGCTCATATTATAAGCCTGTCAATTAACTACTAATAATCCATTGAGTTGTATTTTTGCGTGAAATGTATTTGGAAAATTCGAAGTTTTAGTTTGTCTACAGTTCAGGCAACTTTCACTGTGTTTATGAATGATTATTGCTAGATAATTACTTTTACTAAAGAATATTAATTTTATTATGGACCATTTACATTAAAGCAAAGAATGTCTTTTTAACCTTAAGTTTTTTTTGTTCAAAATTCTTATAGGTGCATGTGGTATCTCGAGTCGTGAGTGATCCTTTATAGGCTGCTCTTTTATGCTCTTCCATGAGCTTTTTTTGATACTAGGAGTAAACTTGACTTAATGGGAAAATGTTTCATCTCAACATTAGTTCGAAACTTTACAGATAAAACATTAACTTCATTCAATATAGCAAGCCATGTTTTATTTAAAGTATTGGGTAAGATCGCAAAGTTAATGTTGAATCATAATTGGAAAAGAATTTGCAGGATTCCATTTTACAGGAAACAAAAAACTGTAAGTTGGCAAGTAATGGTGCAGTATAAACAGATCTGTAATAATAATTCACAGCCACTTTTTTTTTTTCCAAAATTTGGTTATAAATTTTGGCTCGTAACAGAATTAACTTAGTATGTAGAACCACATGGACGCAACTGTTAGCTGCAGCTGATTCACACGCTTAGTTGCTAAGTATGTTATGCTAATGGGAGGTAATTTGCTCACACCTGTTATGTGTTTATTGTATATAAAAGGAAATTTAAATTATTATGCAGTATGAGTAAACAAACTGAAATATTGAAAACTGTAGTGACAAAAATTCCTTCCCTAAAAGAGATTAAATTATTTAAACTTCCCTGAATATTTGAAAGTTTTATATAGTCTGTACACTTTTGGCATGATAAAAATATTAGTGCAAATTTATTATTTGAAAATAATACCTTCGATGCAGCGTCCAACATGAAAAGGTTGAGGAACATAGACTTCGATGGCTGGCTGGGAGTGTCTGTTGTGAACGGTGTTGATGTTGGCCGGATACAACGCCATGGTCTTCTCCTGAGTGTCAAGACCCTCCCAAACACGCTCACTTTCTCGTCCACCGTCACAGTGAGTTGAAAGTGCCAAGAGTAGGTGGATGCTGAGTGGTGCCTTGTTCGCCCTCGTAATGTCCTTGATCAGAGATCCCTCACTCGGTAAATGTCACGCAGTATCTAACGATAGCACCAAACTTTATGGTACCGTCACTAATTTAGTTTGCTCTTAGTAGATTTCAGGAATTTTTCCTTAGCTTACAACGTTTGAGAGACTGGTCAGTCCTCAGTTCATTAAGGGAGTTAGTCTCACTCCCATCCCACCTGTTACATGCAGGCTGAATATGTGAAGCAAATGTCTTTAAATTTGCTTCATACAAAAGCAAATTAGTCTTTAGATTGAAGGTACTGCTTCTCGTTGAATTCAGTATTTAAAATCATGAGTATGTGTATATTCTGGGCAATGTTTTGGGTATTGCAGGCAGCTGGGGAAGTGAAAACTGGCTTCATTAACAACTTACCTGCTGCCTCCTACATCACACTTCATGGAAACCACCTGCTCTCCCTGCCCTTAATTTTCATGGTGAGTTCTTTCATATACTTTTGATTCGTTACTATGGATATTACTAAATTAATATAGTACTGGTGACACCATGCAATATTGTCAACCTTTCCTCTCCAGAACGATATGATAGTTAAGGGCGACGTGAGGATACAGTCAACAGTCAACAATATTGACCTGGTTGCCTTTAACAAGAGTGTATTGAAGACTGCTCGCTCAGGTGACCAGGTGTTGATCTCGCCTGTCATTTTCCATAACATAGCTGCCTTGAGGTGAGTTTTAAGGCGTTTCTCTCCCACACATACTCTGAACTGTTGCCGCTGCTGTATAGAACTGTCCTAATTCTGCCTCAGCCTTGATGGGTCATGTAAAGCGATAATTCCTTGGAGAGACTAGGGAAGGAAGGGGGGGGTTAATGAATCGTAAAAACGAACTATAAGCTGTCCAGGATTCTGCAGGACGTGAGTGAATATTGGTATACAAATAACACTCGCATGAGAGATTAACTTGACGTTTCGATCAGAAACGAGGTCACAAGTTTTTCTCCTATGTGCGGGTTATTTGTGTATTGTTCCAGTCAAGGTATTGACTGGTGTCTGATTGTAAATTATTTTAGCCTTTTGGTTCGATTTTATCATATCATTTTGTTGAACAAAATGCTGAATGATCGTTAAGCAAAGCCGTTGTTTCATTGCTTCCTTAACATACCACCATCTTCGATGTAGCGGGACTGAAGATGGTTACCGGGTGCTTATATTTCTCATTTTCCTTTTAGACATCTTCCTCTGTGTTGTACTTGGGGTAGAGGGTAATGAGTCTCCTTCCCTCGTAGCTTTCCAAATTATACAACTGAACGTATCAAATCTTTTATCTTGATTCTTCTTGATTAATGTCTACGAATTTTTAGCAGGTATGCTTTTAAATAAAACTGTTTATTCCCTTTTGTATATTCTGTGGCGATTAGCAGTATTGACTGTGAGACCTGCAGAGTGGCAGGAGTGTCCCTGGGAGACCTAGTGCTTCTGAATGAGCAGACTGTGATTACAGGTGAGAATCGAGTTTTTCTCCCTGCATCGGTAAGCTCCACTGTATTAAAGAAAAAATGAGTAAACATAAAAAAATTAACTTAAAATTAATGTTCATGGTTTTAACTCCTTTTTATACTAAGTAAACTTGGAAACTGAAAGTAATTAGCTTTTAGCTGTATCGGGGAAACATCGGTTTTCTCTTAAAACTCCTGGTAATTGCAAGTGTGATTGCCCCGGCACCTGCAGGAAGGAAGAGGTTCCAGGTAGTGGTTGGGAGGGGAAATGGAGTGAACGTGGGAGACCTCGAGGTGGACTTCATCAACGGTGTTAACATCACCGCACTCTTCCATCACTCTCTCAAGAAGAACCCAAGTAAGAGCACAAACTCGATGACGCACTTAATACGTGATCTGTGACAAAAATTTTTTGTTACTCGAGATCATGTATTAGATACATCTGTTCATAAAATACTTTGAATCTCTATTACGGCTGGAGACCAAACAGTCTTGTACAAAATAGCAGTGAAGAATGCCTGAGAGAAATTTAAGATGTATAATATCAAAAGTCAGTCTAAATTTCTTTTAATATTACTTAATATGCAATAATATAATTCTTTTTTTCGATATGAACAGCTTGAATTTCGTAGTTATGGATAAAGCTGACTTTCGTTTATAACGGACAGTTACGTCCTTTTTATTTACTGCAGAAAAAGTTGTGATTTCAGTCTTGGATTGTCAGGTGATGTGCAGGTGGTATCCGGCAGCATGATGGTGAGGCAGCTGGTGGCGCTGAGAGACTTCAACTCTGGAGGCTTCACTGTTACAGGCCTCCAGGGTGACTCTGACGTCATTGACCTCCATAGGCAAGTTTACAACAGGATCTTCATACTTTTCATATCTACCTTTGAAAAAAACAAATGCATAAACTAAGGCTCGAAAAATTAAAAAACATGCTTCGGAAAAATATTAATGCTTGTTTTAATGGCATTAAAATTATATAATCGCTCAATTCTATAGTCTTCTAAAATCCATTTAATAAACGGAAAAATCCAACAAAATAATTTTAAATTTAAACTAGTCCTGTTATTGCACCTAATAATTAGGTATTGGTTAACTTTTAGTTTATATACTAAACTGTCGGTCTTCATTTAAGAGAAGAATGAAATGTTTGAATGTGATCTGTTCTTTCCATATTTTCTCAAAATTCAAAATTTCATTTCTTTGCTTATTGAACATTGTGTAATTTACATGTAGATAAAGTACCGTTAAGCGCAATGAAAGCCAGTAACATGCACGAAGATTTTGGGCAGCACTTCGACATTAACAAATGTGTAGTAAATTCATATGTACCAGATAGAGTAAAGCAAACAAAAAAATTACGCCACAATTTTCGAGGATGCCGGTAAACCATTAAATAGGAAGATAAAAGTTTACAGGGAGATGGTAATTAGTATCTGATGCAGCAGAGTGGCTGATCGGGTGGTGTACAAAGACCAAGATGCCACTGTACATGGTTGGGTTTCCTTCGCCGGATTCTGCTTCGTCTCTAACTTACACTTCAAAGGTGAGGAACCTCGTGCTCAGTCTTTAGTTACCTGCTTTCAAGGTAGTCGAAAGGCACTTAATGTGTGTGTAAATACAGAATATGTATAAATTATAGCTTGGTAAAATACTTTTTACAAGACTTGATATTATAACTTTGTAACCTGACAGTTGAGACTAGTTTCACGTAGTGTGAAATTGTATATATACCATAGCTTGTGTGCCTGAAGTATCACCAGTTTACCTTCGAACCATTGGTCTTTAAATTCGTTCTAGTCTAAATTTACTAGTTTTCTAAACCTGTCGTAGGCGTGATTCATTGCTGAAACACTAATTTCTGCTGGCAGACACGTTTGATGAGGTGACTGCTGACCAGTACAACTCTGGCTGGCTGCTGAAAAATACTGACCAGGACTTCACAGGTTATGTGACTCTTGCCGGGATGACCTCGAATAAGGTTAACACAGCACGAGGGGTCAAGATTCAAGAGACTGACCTAGATTACCTCCGGAACTCTGCCGCCCTGGTCACAGAACCTGCTCTAATATCCTCCTCTGTTGTGCTAGGTAAAATAGATCGACTTCACTTGCATGTTACTAATTAGTCTAACTTAGTTTAAATTGTGTATATATATTTCTAGAACTTTGAGAATAGGTGTTCGGGAAAGCTGCGAGTGCAAACCCCTTAATGCTGGTGAAAGGCTCTTGATCCAAGGAATTGGAATTACCCTTCTTTAAATCAAACCTGCCATTTTCCAGGTGCTATATGATTACTTTTTTGCTTGATGTACAGTTAATATGCCTTACCTCGTTGGTTTGTTTAAACAGATGAAGTAGAGTCCCCGCATAGGGTGCAGGTTTCTGGTCGCGTACAGGGTTGGGACCTGTCTGAGGAAGCTGTCGTCAACAACACTGACTCCACCGTCGTCTTCGCCTCTCCCAAGATCTTCCTCGGCCCGGTCACCATTACTGGCAGCTTCCTTAGCGACGCACGGCATTAGTGGTGTCGACCTAGATTCACTCTGTGGCCAAATGTCTTTAAAAACGCTAAAGATTAATGGTATTTCTTAAATTTAAAGATTTAGTTAAATGAATACTTTAAAATTCTTAGTTGTAGCAAAGTAACGTGATAAACTAACAACAATTCAATAGTGCCTTTTTAATTATGCAGTAAACTAACCAGTGAATTGTGTGTTAAGGAAATGTTAACGGCAGCGAAGATCCCTCTTTATAAATTTCACTTTTTCTTCTCTAGGCGGAATTATTGATCACTAAAGGAAAACATTATTTTTTCCTCTTATATGTAGGCGACTGTGGAGGATAGTTATATACATGACTTTTGTAGATAAATGGTTCAAACAAATTAGACACGCGTGTAACACTTGGGTATCTTTGTGGAAACGTTTCGCCACACAGTGGCTTCCTTAGTCCAATACAAAAAAGAATGGTTGAAGATCGTAAGTAGTTTGAGGTAATCAGTCCCTCGACCTGGAGTAGATGTAATCAGTCCAGTCTAGTAATCTCGTCTCAGTCTAGCCCTCTTATCTAAGATATCTAACTCCCCCCCCCTGGGATGAGACCCACAATAGTAGACTAACACCTAGGTACCTACCTATTTCTAGGTGTACAGGTGTAAGGAAACGTGCAAAAGTGTCAAGTAGTGCCTGGGATCGAACCACGGACCTCTGGTATGCGACCCGAGGGTTCTGCTAACCAAGCCAAACCCTGGAAATATTGTATTTTTTGCAAGCATTAGTTGGGAAATTTTATTTTCAAGTGCATAGTGAATCTGGCACATTGTATAAGAATGATATTAAATACCGACAAGATGAAAACTGACACACGTACAACATCTGGGTATCTTTATTGTAGAAGTCTCGGTATCCAGTGGCTTTATCAATACAGATTCTAGGACATAATTTGAAGACAGTAGAACTATATACAGAAGATGAGCTAATCAGTCCCTCAGCCTTGACGCTGGTGTGAAAAGTACCGTAGTCTTGAAGATTCTGGAGCAGAGGCATGGAGGCTGGAGCTTGTATACTAACGTCAGGTGGATTGAGACGGGTAGCAGACGAGGGCATAATCATTGGTAGGCGAGATTCCCCAGTGGAAGTAGGACATACCCAAAGGGATGGGCAAGTTGTAGATGTAGTAGCCGTGAAGGTCGTATAGATGACCTTTGAACCAAGATTTCATGATGTTGCAGTGTCTGACAGTTTGTACAAGAATGGTATAAAATAGACAAGATGTTGCACATAAGTTTTCAATCTGGCACATCTTGCCTGCCATCAGTGGCCATGTAACCCACCTGGTCAGGTTAAGTAATCAAGGTTGTTCCCTGCAGGTACTGTGAGATTCGTGAAGAACGTGACAGGCGACGTGTTGCATCTGGGTCAGCACAGCATCGCAGGTGAAGCAGTGAGCGATTTCTGGATGAAGGATCACAACGTTACTCTTAGGAAGCCGCTGAGGCTGCGGCTGATGACGGGGCTTCACATTACTACAGTCAAGGTGAGTCTGGTGCCTTTCAGTTCATAAGATATCAGAACGGTTGAGGGAAACCAACAGCAGCCTAAACATTTAGTGAAATTTTGATGAATCGATTTTAGAAATTAAATTTCTTTGCCCCAGCCGATGCGGGTTATTTTAAGAGTTTACTTTAATAATAGCGTGCAGATTTGTCCATGCTGGTACTGTGGTTTTTATTAAGTTTTGCCAAGGGTGCCTATGGAGGTTTGTATTTCAAGATTGAAGACTAAATTATCTAGATCAGCAATTCCCAACGTGGGGCGTATAACCCATAGGGGGGAGGGGGCAATTTGAGTTAAAATAAAATGGCATGTATACATAAATATTTATATGAAATATAGTATAAATTTCAATTACTTGTAATTATATTTATTCGCAGCATTTGTACATAATTTCGTATATTACGTCCAGAATTTTTATATTCTAAACAGTCTAAAAATATTAATTGGCCATCTTTTATTCAGCCTTATTGTATGGAGTCTACACATGCGCGTTATTCTTGGATGACTTCAAAGATGGTATTTTACAGTTTGATGAAATGTCCATGAGAGGGTACAAATAGTTTATAATGAAGTCTGATTTAACACTCGCATTTGGTTTTTTGTCGGGGGAGACTTCAAATTTTTTGAGGTTTCCAGGTGGATCATGACTCGGGAAAGGTTGAGAACTATGATCTACAAAAGTTTTTTAAATATCAAACTTCATAAGACATCCTTTGGGGGGGGGGGGAGACAGGCGGCTGCCCAGAGACCGGACTGCTGTTAGCAGACACAGATCACAATGCGCTAAATTGTCGAGGTTCTGGCGCTAAACGAGGGTTTAATAATTTACCAGATGCACAATGCATGCAATTCATAAACATCTTTCACACATTAAGAAGACCACAATTGTAACAAAATTCCGACATAAACACAGGCGAGACGGTAAGATGAAAGCAGAGTGCACAGAATAGTCATAACACCGTGGTTCAAACAGTACACAGATATCTTGCACTTAGAGGAAAAGAAATGAGGCTTTGGGCCAACTTTCACCACAGACAAGTCGGTGTGACTTGGCCATGGTCAGTGTCTGACCACAACTTCATTCGTTTTCCTGTAAATGCAGGTTATTTGTGCAGAAAATATGCCTGTGTAGTTGTATAGCAAATACTTCGTGTAACTTGACAGTATATATGCGGAATGCTCTCAGACTATTTTTTTTGAGTGTCAGTTTTTTTTTTTTCTGGTAGTATATCTTTGAATCCTTGCCTCCCTTCCTCCGTCTCCCAAATGCTGGGTTCATGCTCATGGCCCAACTCTTTCTACACTTTTCTTAGGTTGCTAAAGCTCTTGTTTGATAACTGAAAGTAATCCATTCGAGTTTTATCAACTATTTTAGTTTCGTATTAACAAGATTTTTTTTAAATCTAACCTTTTACAATGTTATCAGTCTGACTCTTCATACCAGTCTTTAAATAGCGGATGTTTGCCAGTTTTATTATGTATTTTACTGATAATATTACTTGCCTAACGTTTTAAACTAGGATTATCCCTAAGTAAGTTTGAGAAATGTTTATAAAATTTCTCTTGATTTCTTCACAATTCTCCTTTCTTGGTTCGTGTGAACTTCTGGCCAGACCAACGCAATAAACCTGGAGGTGGTGAAGGAGCAGATGTTGGTGAGACCATGTGAAGGGACCCAGCAACTAGTGGATGCTATACACTTCCAGAACCTCACCATCAACTCGCTCAACGTCCACACACTGACGGTAATTAATGCCTGTGATAACTTTCGGTTACTGGTAATTTTAAAGTGGGAACTCCAAAGTACCAGGCCAACTATCTCTAGGTTTATTTTATTGTTTCTGGGATAAAGGTCTTAACTGCCTGCTGAAGGCTGGCTTTGCAACCACCATCTTCGCTGAAGACTTGTCAAGTTGCCAAGAGAATCTTTTATTCACATCAGAACTTTACCCTGTACATGCTTCATAATCACTTGTTCAGTCCATTTATTGAACTGTCTGCTCACCCCCAGTACGCTTTGTTGAACCTGGCACAATGTTTCCTCTGTGGCTTGGAAAATCCTTGAGTGGTCAGTACATAGTCTCCCAGCATAATGACAAGTTGTGTTTTTTTTTTTGGGGGGGCCTGGCCAAAGGACTTAATGTCCTGTAAGTGGTGAAATTTTCAGACTAAGAGAAAAAAAAAATGTAAATGTCCACCAGGATGTGGATGTTGGTTCTCTTCTCAACGCAGACATCTTGAGCATCACAGGAGTAAAATAATAAATTTTAATTTAGAACTTTTGTTCAGTGTAGAAAATCAAATTTTCAAGTACATTATTTGCTTTGACTGCATTTGGAAGTTGGCATTTACAATCAATCAATGCTCACTTTTGAGCATTTCTTGAATATCGGCTTAAGTACAACAACGCATAAATTGTTAAAGTATACACTTCATAAGGGAGTTATAAAATTTAATGAAAGTGTGCTCATGTTACTCTTTTTCATGATAAATTTTCTAAACATTTATCCATAGGCTCTGGTGCTACTGCCTACATCATAGATTTGAGTTAAAAATAAGATTTTAGTCATTTTTATTTACAGTATCTTAGAAAAGTAAATATGATGCTGCCATCCCACAGTGTAATGTGATGAACGGCGAGCAGTGCAGTGACCTCCAGCATGTCCTGACAAAGGGAGACGCCCAGGACATCACTGCTCATTATAACCTCAACAACATCCGTGTTATGGGTAAGTTCATTGCATCTTAAGAGGTAGATGCCTTGGGGCGTACATAACTTATTGGAATTCGAGCTCGGTCTACAATGCCAAAATTGTTTGGGTTCTCATATTTGTCAAGTAACTGCATCCGTAGATGTTAGATTTTCCTAGAGACGATGTTAGTCAGGAGATTTTGCACTGGCCCTCTGCGTACTTTTGTCATTTCATAGTTTAAAAGATCAAACAATGGTTTGCTCGTCTCCACGCTCAGCTCAAGGATGAAGAATTTTGCTGGTACCCCCAGCGATGTTGGTCTCTTGAAAAAAGAATGGGCGGTTGCAAAGACTGCTACAACACGCCCGTTCTACCGTCTACTTGTCTTCATGGGCCATATTCACACATGTCCTTGCCAAGTGGCAAGCCTGGTGAGCCCTACAGACTAGCAAGCAAGTTATAGTGGGTTGAGAACCTGGGTGTTTGACCCTCGAACAGAAGTCACTTTGAAACTATAAGCTGAAGACTGGACATGCGCTCACCTCACCCATGTACTTTACTGCCTTCTGTAGCTTCTAGCATGCAACTGACTGGGAAGCACATTTTGTTTGCCCCCACTTAAGCCGTCTTCGCTTCCCTCGTGGTGTTTATAATTGCCGTGGTGCCTGGAGAGATGGTCTTAACTTGGAGTTAAGTAATGATAACCATTTATTTTTAAGTGACCCTGGTTATTTTAAATGTGAGTGTTTTGTTTTATTCATGCTAGTAGTTGAATTTTTGCCTTTTCTTTCGTCTTTTTTATATATTGCCATGTCTGAACTGTCTAAACGGTCAGTGCTCTTCGAATTTTGAATTATACTAGGTCGCGGGGGCGCTTATCCCCGGACAACTATCCAGATAGGTACTATCCCCGAACACACTAAAAGGTGTTCCTGCCACTATCTCCAGACACTACAAGAGGGGGGAGGGGGATTTCCAGGCGCTCTACTTGGAGGAGGGGGAGGGGTCCCAGGTGCACTGCAGGTCTTTGCTATACTCCCAGGATACACCAAGGGGTCCCTGCCATCCCCTAGCGCACCATCGCCAGGCTTCACCTAAGCAAGCTTTCATCATGAACCTGTCAAGCTGGTTTAGAAAGTTGATTTTTCCCCGGGGTTCAAGGTGGACAGGTAATTTAAAGTTGGTGAGCTGTGGCTGATTTTAGCTAAGTTTGGTAAGAGCTTTCCCCCACGTGCTTCATGGAGATGCTGCAGCCAATTTAACAATTTTAGGCATTTCCAGGTCAACCTTGCGAAGTCTTAATTTTTTAACCAGGGTGCCGCGGCGCCCTTGTGTGCTAGTGTCCATTGGTGCCGCTAAATTAATGTTCTTCAGAGATAAATTAATTTGGGATTTCAAAGTGAAGGAAGGTAGCATGGATGCTCCCACATGTTGCAACAGAGAATGAAGGATCGTGCCATTGATTTTTGAGCATCTTGAAGTACCTGCCAATGAAAATCGGTAATATTTCCCAGTATCAACCCGTCGAAGCTCAGCCTCGCAAAATAATTAACTGGAATACGTAATGATGGCAGTCTGAAATTATAAGGAAGTGCCTCCGGACGAATTATGTACAAAGATTAAGAATGAATATCTCTAAGTTGCGCAAGCCTCTGATAATTTTAATGCAATTTTCCACAGCTTCCCTGTGAGAATTGGTATTTTCGTTGCGTTCAGACATAAAAACAAGAACTACAATCGGTCGAGGTACATCTGCCCAATATTCCACCTAAGAATCTGCCAGTCACAGTCCAAATATCAGAAAACAAGATACAGAAGATGGAAATTAGACAAAAGTGCAACATCTGGGTATCTTTGTTGTAGACATTATCAACCTGTGGCTTCATAAATACAAATTCAAGGACATAATTGGAAGACAGAAGAACTATATACAAAAGATGAGGTAATCAGTCCCTCAGCCTTGGAGTTGATCACCGTAGTCGCAAACAATGAAGGAAAGTTGGCGTTTATATACTGGCGTCGGGTGGTAAGGGACGTGTAGCAGACGGGCATGTGTATTTTTATTAGTACTGAAGTACTCCTGGGGAAATAGTTATAATACAAAATTGACTAAGAGTGCCACAGAATAAGATGTAAAAAAAAAAAAAAAAAAAAAAAAAAAAAAAAAAAAGGTTGAAAACTAGTGGCCTCGTGGCTTGCGTTTTTTCAGTCTTTTTCCTCCGCCTCCCTGCCAACGGGCAGATTTAATAATTAACAATG